CAGTAGGACGTAGAAATCCAGGAACCCCAGCGGAGTGCGGATTAACAGTGATCCATAAGCTCAAGATAGGAAGAATCGAAATACTCGTAAACGTCATGTTTACGAGTTGGAAAATATCAAGGTCAGGTGACCTTGATATTTTCCCCACTGCAAGTTGCAACTTTGTCTGGTGACGATTAAAGCCTTATCAATTGTCATTCATATGCGATAATAAAAAAGTGTCTATTGCCCTGCGTTGACCTCAGGTCAGGTCATTTTTATGACTTGTCCATTATTTACGAGCGGCAGCGACAGCGAGATCTCGAGAACAAAGCAAGATAGCGACAAGCGGTAAACGGTGCAGGGTACACACGGATAAGGTCTTCAATTTTTACCGAGGTCATTTTCAGGTCAGGTCAAAGATGACGTCACAGGGGAAAAAAGGTCAGACTACATATATATGAAGTTTTTCTCGAATAACATTCAAGGTATCCCAGCTAGGAACAAACAAATAGCACCATCGTGATCCTCTCGTCGATCCGCATCGAAACATATGTATGTTGAGCTCGAAAGGTCAAGGTCAAAAGTTGACCTGACCTTAGGTCATCGATATCGAAATTCAAAGCAAACTGGCGCTAGGCCAAAGCAAACACAATGGTGCCTGTTCCACGTCTCTTACTTTATTAGATCAAAAGGTACAGCCAAAACTATTTTGACTTCCTTTTTACCCCTGTGACGTCATCTTTGACCTGACCTGAAAATGACCTCAGTAAAAATTGTAGACCTTATCCGTGTGAATCCTGTACCGTTTACCGCTTGTCGCTATCTTGCTTTGTTCTCGAGATATCGCTGTCGCTCCCGCTCGTAATAATGGTCAGGTCATAAAAATGACCTGACCTGAGGTCAACGCAGGGCGATAGACACTTTTTTATTATTGCATATGAATAGAAATTGATAAGGCTTTTATCGTCATCAGGCAAAATTGCAACTTTCCGTGGGGAAAATATCAAGGTCACACTCCGAAAATAGGTCAAAAGATCACGTGATCAAAATTGTCAAAAATTGAAAATCCGCGATAGCCAAAATGTTTGTTGGTTGATTGTGCGTTGAGCCATATCAAGTTTTTGTCATATAAAACCAATAGTTTCTGAGTTAGGTATAGGCCGCCAAACATAGGGTTGCAGCGTGACCTCCAGGAATTGCCCGAGGCTATATCTCGGAAAACGTTGTTTGAAGAAACAAATCCTTGCCACAGCTGGCTTCCCCGCGCATCACAACTCATTAGACCAATTTTAAGCAAAGAAAAAATAAATAAATATGAGGGTGCAGGCACTTGCCGATTTGTCGTGAAACGCCCCATCTAGAACAGCTCTTTATCACACTATCCGACTAGGTTTTTACCGGCTGTAGTCATTTCAGGTCAAGCTAGGTCAAGGTCAATGATATGTGTTTGTAAGTCTGTGTATGTCTGTGTGTATACTGATATGTGCACAGATTGGTTTGTGTGTCCCAATTACATGAGATCATAATCTGAGAAGCTTTTACCAAAAATTCAGTCAAAACTTCATGAAAAGTAAATTTAGCAGGCCTAAAATGCAATGTTTTTATATGACCTAGGTTGACCTTGACCCTGACATCTGCACATCGTCGAATAACATGTTCCATGATAGGTGGGAGGTAAGACTAGCAAAAACATATCGAAATCAAGGTGTCAAAAGCTCACAAGACCCAAAGCTAACGCAAGACATTGAGTTTTGGTCATTTGGGTCATGACATGACCTGAAAAACAAGGTAATATCTCCGAAACCAAAAACCACAGAAACTTGAAAGAGGACGCTGATAAAGGATAGAGGAGCAGCTATACGTAAAATCAGGCTTCTAGCTTTAAAAATGCTTAGTGCAGAACAGAAAAAAAAAACTACCTGGGGGTGGCCCCCCCCCCCCCCAGGTGCGGGCGAGGGTTAACAAATCCAAAACGCCGTGTAACCAAGGTGAATCTATTAAGCAGGTTTTACTGTATACTCTTAGATCAATGAAAAGGTAAAAAAGAGATGACACCATATCACCATGGCAGAATGATTTATAGCGTCACCAAATTGCTTAACCCTATTCCGGGCGGGCTCTGAAAGGCTCGATTCTGGGCGGGGGGAGGCTTTTCGCCCCCCCCCCCCTTCATATCTCAAAAACCACACATCGGAGCGACAAACGGCAAACGGCGTTTGATAGGTCGCTTAAAGATCTACAACTTTTACATAAAACATTTTCGGGTCAGGTCAATATTGAGGTCACCAGAGGTCATCAACGATAAAATATTTTGGAATTAGTTACTTATGTAACTTTTGAATTAAGAAACAAAGAGACTTAAACTTAATACATTTTTTGTTGCTCTCGTCGAGGCGATTCGATTTAAGTATGCGATGACCTTCACAGGTCAATTTGAAATTTGACCCGAGGTCAAGGTAGGTCATTCACTAATGAGGTTGTGGGGTATGGTCATGGTGCATACCAAACGACGCGCCTTGACCAGGCGAGCATTTTGGTACCACTTACAAGCCTTTAGCACCATAATGTCGTGATTTATTGACACAAAACGATTTATGACGTCACATGACCTCCGATGAACGTTCCCGGTGCCCCTGTCAATAAGCGGCACCAGGATCATCACCGATGAGATAATCTTCCATAATACTGAAAGAATTGGGTGGTTTTGACTCGTTTACACCAAGCAGGAGGCATTCCAATATTTTCCCATAGGCTTGCAATGTAAAGGTCACAAGTCTGGGCTGACCTCAGGTCACAGATATAAAAATTATGAGATATACAAATTGCACATACTGGTATCCTAACTAAAACCTGAAGAGAAGAAATTGATCACTCAAAAACTCTAGCTCTGACGTGATTGCAAACTTTTCAGAGGTGGGGTCAACAAACCGCCTCTGGTGACCTGACCTGACCTGACCCGGCAACTTTTTTTCTGTAAAAATGTGCGCAATGAATGTTTAGAAAAGTCAACGAGTAGGTATGAGCTTTCAGTCTCGCGGCGTTTGGCAATGGCACAAGAAAAACCTGAGGGGGGGCCTTAAAGGCCCCCCGCCCAGAATAGGATTAAGCTGGTTCATGAGAAAAACAGTGCAGCAAGCAGTTGAACATTGTTGATTCACAGCCAGGGCTAGTGCTAAATCATTTTCTCCCGCATATTGCCAGAAGAGGTTATTAAGCTGACTGGGGTTTACAGGTGGGTCAATCACGGAATCATTTGCGCCTTTTACCGAAATACCGACAGAGTATCTGCAGGTTGACCCACAAACTTCTTTACCACACCTCTAGCTGATTTGTGTTCTGATACAGCTGGTGCCGGTGACAATGATATCAGCATATAAAATAGCATCTGCATGAACATGAGGTGAGGTGACCCTAATTCGGAATGGACCAGGGCAAATGGCACTGGCAGTCACATACAGCAAAGTACACCTTTTCGCGTTGTTCGATGGCCAATCGTCATAACCATTTCGGCATCAGTTTGGACAAGCGTCATTCAGAATAACCCATCGGCGATGTGCATCACTGTTAGACGGTCGGCAAAACAGGCTGGACTCCATTTAACCATTCTGCATAACTCTTTGTCATTGAGCACAATGTTCGTCATAGGCAAAACACTTTGTCAGATTGTCATAATGCTTCGACATTTAACAAAATGGTTAGTCGATGTGCAAAATTCATCGGTACTGTGCGTAAACAATGACTGTTTATTTAAAACTTTCGTCAATGATCAAAATGTCAATGATGTAGTGCTTATCTAGCCATATTCAATGTTTAACGTTAATCACGCATTCAGGGATGAGGCTTATGACAGTTCCAGCGCAAGTTGCAACCAATTAACCATTGAATTCCGAAAAAGGCAGCTATACCATAGCTACGAGGAGACTGCCGGCGCCATACCGAGTAGGCATGTAGATTCTTGAGCATCGGACTCCTAAACGCTTCGATACAAACCACGAAGTCGGCCGTCATTATCGCGTCACTGCCCGTGCGATGTCATGGGACAACGCCTCGGGCGGCCGCGCCGGTCGGACTCGCGAGGGAATGGCTGACAGATGGCAAGCCGGGCCCTGCCGGCCGGACACCTTGGTTTTGGGGGCGGGGCTGACTTATCCAGCCTGTTGCCTGTTCCTTGGTGTTTGAGGCGGGGTTAACTTATCCAGCCTGTTGCTCATTTGCCAGTCCATTCTTCAATCAGCCGATAACATGTCAGCTACGTCCATCTACATTCTACATTGTACCTATGGCGCTCATGAACGCTACCGATGTTTATGTAGATCAATGGTCTACGAGTTTCGCCACCTATGCCTCGCACTGCACTGTATAAACCCGGTCATATTTATACTTCTCTGTAAAGGGGCGATCTGTTTTTAGTTTTGACGAAATGTTATGAGGAATGCCGAAATTAGCATGGGGATGTTTTGGTGAACGACGAAGGGATATTAACGAAAGACGAAGCATTTATCCAAATCGTCAAAGGTTTTGCCGGAACTCAATCAGTTATGGCGAATAGCGAAGGTAATACCAACTGACGAACTGTGGAGTGGGATCAGCATTCCGTTTTGCCCATATGCTGAAGGTTTTGCCGGAATGCCTCTCACTGGCGCCACCTATGTGCTGATCGGACGAATGGGTTTTGCTGATTGGCCATCGAACAACGCAAAAAGGTGTAGTACTTTCCTTTGTTGTGTTTGCGTAAAAGCTAGAAACCGAAACCAACTGGGAGCTTCTAAAAGCCTCAGGGGAAAAACCATTCACCACGACAATCCCTAACACGGCGCTAATTAACGGCCTGACACTAAGCGGCGACAAATAACACATTGCACACACTATGTAGTTATCGACGCATAGGCGACAAATAACACATTGCACACACTAGTTATCGGCGCAGTCTAGGGATCCAGCGACATAGCCAGCAGTTGAAGACACCAATACGACACATGCGCGCGCTCGCGTGTTGCGATCGGTCGGCATCTACTCACCATGGGCTCGTCGGTGTTTTTCTGGAACTGCACGAGTCTCACACGCGTCACTGTGTCCGGGTCGACGTGTCCGTTGGCGGGCGGCAGTCCGTCGCCGCCGTTCAGATAGGGCAGCACTGGCGGCGGCGTGACGCGCACGGCCTCATCACTGTACACCTCTTGCGCCACCACGTCATGCGCCTGCAGCAACGCCTGCCGCACGCAGAGAGCGCACCCGTCAGACACGAGCCTATCGGACCCCACCCACCATAGACAGACCTACACACCAGACAGACTTACACGGCACAGACAGACAGACAGACCCACCAATCAAACAGAACCCCGCTCCTCAGACACAGCATAGACAGACCCAAACAGGACAGAAAACCCCCATCAGACTTGCCCTTCAGAGACAGAGAGTCACCAGACAGACCCACCAATATGCATTTGTGAAACACAAAGCGTATCTAAGCAATCCAGGTAAGCTTTTTTCAGTGAGTTCGATGTGAAGGGATTCATGTACAATTTAAAAGGCAAGATACTTGATAGGTAATCGAATCGAGCCAGGGGCATGCTCTCTGTTCACGCGATCGTAACATCCAGTCGCCAGCACAGGGCAGACCTCTGCCAGCCTATTCTCCAGGGACTTGATGTCGTTGCCACTTTGCGTATTGTGAGCCGAGATGCTATAATGCACTTACTGACCTAATGTGCACCGTGTCTGTCTGTAACAATGTTGTTACCGGCATTGCATATGTACATTGCTTATTATATCCTGCCTGTGCCTGCTGGGGTATGCACTACGCATGCGTTTTTGCTCGGAGTGTCTCTGTTCCCTGCACGGGAACTACACATACTCGTACTGCTCGACGAAAGGCAAGCAAAGCAGGATCAACAAGGTCATGCCAATTAGGGTCACCATCCCTCAACTAATACATTCTGCTCCAGTGGTGCTTCTTATTTTGTGATTCGTCTGTTTTGTGCATGAAATTTGCCAGGTAACGTATTTGAAATGCAAAAGCAAATACAAGCGACAACAAAATGGTAACACCAAGGAACAAGGAATGGCCTTGATTATAGGTTACATTTTCAAGGTGACCTCTCAAATTAACTGTTAGATAAAGTGAAAGATAACAAAGCGGAACGTTCCCATAAGATATTGTTGGGTCCCTCAGGAAGGTGCTAGGAATTTCGACAGCCGTTGTCTGCTGTCCTCATTCCTCACTCACGTCCCCAACGGCTGGAGTTATTTTGGCCGACGGCTCGACCCCCACGCCCCGGTTCGGGACGGTGGGGTGACGTGCCGCTGGGCGTACCTTGTTTCCGCGCCGGTGGCTGCCCCAGTCGTCGGCGTAGGAGCGCTGCGCGGCCGCCGCCGCCGCCCCGGCCACAGAATAGGGCTGCTGGTCGCGCTCCTCTGACGAGCTGGCGCTGCCCGCCCGGCCACCCGAGTAGGAGGCACACGCGCCGTACTCGCTCGCCTGCGAGTGGTAGCCGTGCGAGCCGTCCTCCTGCGAGCTCTGCACGCTGAAGCCGCGCCGCAGGGCGGGCGGGTGCGGCCGCCGCTCGGGTGCCGAGGCCGTGCTGCAGCGGTCCGAGCGCGGCGTGCCGCTGCGCTCCGACTCCGAGCGGAACAGCTCCAGCGGCTGAGAGCTGCAGCGGTTCAGCCGGCGCCCGGCCGGCCCCGTCCCAGCCGCCTCGGCCGGCTCGCCGCTGTAGCCCGAGCAGCCGTCAGCGACCCGGTGGCAGGGCGGCGCGCGGCAGCTGGGCTCTCCACAGCGCGCGGCGGCCGCCGCCGGCGGCGAGCGGTGGGACGCGACGCGCGGCAGGGTAGCGCACTGTTCCATGCCGTGCGGGATGCTGCGGCACCGCTCTGGCGGGTGGCCGGGGGGCTCGGCGGCGCAGCAGCGCTCCGAGAGCTGCGGGTTGGAGCGATGGTGCGGCGCGGAGCGCTCGAGACCGCGCGGCGGACGCGCCGGCGGCGGCGGGTACTGACCGTCCGAGCCGTACTCGTGATCGTAGCACGCCACACACTCGCGATACGGATACTCGGGCACCAACTGGGGGTATTGCGGATACACATGGTGATGGCACGCACTGCAGTAGCTGTCACACGAGTGGAGCATCTCGTAGGTGGGCTGCTGGTGCTGGTGGCTGTGCCCGGTCGCCGGATGCCGGTACTGGTCGGGCTCGAACCACTCGTGAGGCGGCTGCACCAGCTGCGGACCGTGCAGCTCGCACTGTGTGATGAACGCCCAGCGGCCGCGCGGCGCCGCGCTCAATGGCTCGTCGGCCATGGTGTCGCACCGATGACGTGGTTGGCGCGGAGGTACCGCGGCGCGCTGCGACACCACTGCGGCGGGCGCGGCCCGACTGGTGCGCCGCGCCGACCTCTGCAGAACGGCCGATCGATCGGCGCGCCAGCCGGCCGGCCAGCCGACACCTCTGGCCGACGGTGCGGCCCAGCCGAGACTGCCGCAGTCGACGGCCGACGACGCGCCGCCACCAATCGATGCTGCATTACCAACAGGCAGCGGTGCCACCCCCGCTCCTCCTCGGCCAGCCCAGCAGATAGCGTGGCACAACACCGCTACTGCACGCAGGCAGGTCGGGCCGCCCCAGCCTCCGGTGCGTCGGCCGCTGGCCACTGCGCCGCTGGCTGCCGCTGTGACGGCGGGTGCCGGCGGCGGCTCCGGCCCGCCGCTGTGGCGCAGAACCCACCGGCCGACGGTGATGGAGATCGGACAGAGCTCTCCGGCTCGCCACCTGGCCACCGCCGGTCCCAGCTGCTCGGGAAACGCGGGCTGACTGGCCGCCTGAAGGAGCGTTATGGGCCCAGCGGCCAGACCCGGGTTGGCGCGCAGTGCGGATGACGGCTCAGATGTGCAGGACGGCTGTCTGCAGTCCGACCGGCGCCACCCAGAGGCGCACCCAGTCAGCCGGCTCCACTGGGCCACACCGAGTCGGCCAACGACGCAAAACTTGGCCCTTCTGTTTGTTTGCTTGTTTATTTATTGATTCGTCGGGACTGAGTTTATTTGTGTTCGTTTATGTTTGTTAGAAAAATACGGGCACTTCCAGCACGTCATTAGGGGCTCCTTAAACCATTAACTCTGACCAGGTAGAGAAAAATAGCAATTGCAATACAATGCTCATACTCTAAAACAATGTTCCATTCTATGAATGATTAAAAGTGTGCTGGAACCGCTGGAACCAACAACATCGATGTAAGACAGAAACACGTTCCCTTGCTTTTGTCCCAACGGTGCCAAGCACGGAATCAAATTGTTTGAGAGTGCGACCATGGGTCAGGTTCATAAAACCTTCAGTTCAGTGAGAGACGAAGATATTTCGAAGTTCCAGAGCATTGGGTCCTGGTGGTATTCAGGTAAGCTGTATTAGAAATGTGACTACGAAATTTTCGTATAATGTACGAAGTATACCATGTCGGCGTAGTTAAAAAGGGCGTTATCCCGGGGTCTGGAGGTTCCATTCCCGATGCCGCCCGTCTCCCCGGGCTGCCGTCCCTCGCTGCTGCCGTAGCCCAGAGGGGAGGTCGGAGGTCGGAGGACGAGGGGAGGGGAGGAGGGTGTGAGGATAGGAGGACGAGGATCAAGGGCTCTCCTGTAAGTGGGCACAATGCCTGTCAGAGGGAACGATAAAAAAGTAATTGTGTATTGTATCCTGATAGATTGTGATCATTGCTGGAAGCACCACGCAGAAACAAGGATAAGCAGAAGGGATAGGCAACCTGGGCTCGACAACACGGGGCAGCGAACTTCCTCTAGGTTCATGCCTCACGGGGTCCCAGAGCGCATCCTTAGCCGCATCATTGTACTGGATTGAGGGTGGACAACTCTAACTATTACTGGTTATTACTGATGCAATGGCGAAATCCAGCAGGATAGTAGATTCAATAACTTTTTTTTTGTTTTTGTTTTACTAAAGCTTTTGGCGTATAAGCTGGCTGAACAGATTTTACTGAGGAGCCTGGGACGGCAGAAACTAGCTTAGACGTCTCAATGATCAAGTAAGTGGTTAAATCGATGGCAAACGAGTACTCGGAATTAGGTGAAGGCTTCCAGTTTAAAGGAATTTTTCTATCTCGTCGGTGGCCATGAACTGGTCTGGATAACAGCGCCGGCCTGCAGTCTGGCCTGGGGCGGCGGTCTTGGCAGCGAGCCGATTGGAGAGCGAGACGCCGCGGCCGCTGCGCAGTGGCCAGCATCGATCGGCCGTCCGGTCGGCCGGCGCGTCTCCCGCCGAGCACGGCCGAGCCGGCGGCCCTTATTGCGCGCCTCGGGTCGGTCTCCGCCGCCACCGGCGTCTCCACAGAGCCAAACGCTCCGCGGCCCGCGCACCATACAATTACAAATGGGTACGCCTCGGTGCTGGCGTTACTGCGCGGCTGTATCCAGCATCCACCCAGCCCCTGACCCCGACTGTCCAGCATCCGCTCAGTCCCTGTCTCCGACTGTCCACTCAGTCCCTGTCCCATATATCTACTCTGTCCTTGTCCACTCCGTCCCTGTCCCTTCTGTCCACTCTGGCTGTCCATTCTGTCCCTGTCTAACCACTCTGCCGGGTCCCTGTCCGCCGCTGTCCATTCTGTCCCTGTCCACCCTGTACCCATCTTTCCCCTCAGTCCTGTCCACTGAGCCGCTGAGACCCTGACCGTCCAGTCTGTCCACCTTTCCACGGCCGGTAGCTCGGCGTCGGCATCCGGCGGCGCCGACCGGAGCCGCGCCGCGCCGGAGCCGGAGCCGGCCTCCGTGCTCTCTCTCTCTGGTCGATAGCGGCGCCCGTCCCCGCTACTCCCACGGAGATGAGCCATGGCGACCCCAGCATGCACTGACGACCGGACGCCGGTGGCGACCGCGGCCGTTCAGAGGAAGGTCGGGATAGGGAACGGCAGGCCAGGTAGACGGCCATATTTCCACGAAATGAGTTACGACCTCGGAAAACAAAGGCAGAATTTCGCGCTTCACCAAATCGAACCAGGGCCACTGTGCAAAAATTGGAAAATGACGAAGGTATGAACATAACATTATACAGAATAATGTTAAGATTAGGGAAGTGCGTTGCAGCACAAGATGGTCCATCCAAGGTCCTATATGACCTCCATTGCAATATGAAAATCCATTATTAAATAACTACAATTCATCGCCTACTAATATAATCGGTATAGCGACGCAACTACCGGACGTGGTCATTTAAAGAGATGTGAATAGTTTGTCCCATGCTAAAAGTTCGTCCATTTATAAGAAGAAAAGAATGCCTATCGTAACTTATATACAGCATACAAAGCAAGTAAACCCAACCAGTGCACCGAGGGTTTTAAGATAAACATAAAACCAACCTGCAGCATAAATTCCCTTCCATGCACTGGCATATCATTGGGTTGGACTGCACCGAAGCATAAAATGTCTGGGCAACTTAAGAAATTGAGCTTCCTGTTATTGTTGGGGAAGTTGCTGTTCGCTGTCAAGTTGCTGCTGACTGATGAAGAGTTCTGCTGATACGCATAACTGCAGGTTGTTTCGAATTAGATCAGCATTTTCCCAGAGAGCTAGAGAAGACCCAATGGATTGTCCAAATCACCGACCATGAAGCTTGTTCGTGCAAAAAGCTTGACGGGGCAGTATGCATGGGACGCCGATTTTGACGTTTTGCTGAATGAATCGCGACGCTGACAGTGCAGCTGGGTATTCCGGTATCCAATTCGCTGAAGCAATAGTTCACTGTCAACCAAAATTATTGCCTGCAAAGGAAAAATCCTTCTTTGATGCTCCAATTCTTCCAAACATCACAAGACTAGACCGTGCCGTGCTGTGCGGAGGGACGTCGGATGGGGTTGATGGAAGGTCGAGTTAGTGGCTTGTGTCCATTTCCAGTATAGTCGAAGCCGCTACTTTGAAGAATTGAATTGACACTTTTTCATCCCATGAGCAGAGCTTAGGACTTTCAACAAAAATTGCCTGTCGAAGACCATTTCGCAAATCATTGTGCATAATCGTTTAGTATTGGCTAACCGTCGCGTCGGCTGACTGGTCAAGCATTATCGTTTGGTGTCTAACAATGGGCGACTCTGTGAGGGAGACGGCACCAAATTCATTGGAATAATTTTGCATGGTTTGCCCAGGAATGTACATTGAAAGCTTTGCCTAACGAAATACCTTTTTTTCGTTGATAAGCCCTGGAAACTATCTGTTACTTGAAAATTACGTACGTGGAACGGATGTGGATATGTGCACAAAATATGACGCACCACATATTGAGGCGATACTATATAAAACAACACATATCATGCCTACATTCTCGCTACCAGACACGGTCGAAAACGCATGCCTTACCTTCATGTGCGGCCGACAGAGGATCTCCTTGAGCTCGAGTATGTCGGCCAGGTCGGCAGTGTGCTCCGAGTCGCGGAGCACATCCAGCGCGTCCCGCCAGCGGGCCACCGCCTCGCTGGTGGGCGCCGGCGCCGAGCCCAGCTGACGGGACGTCACCCGGTCGTACAGCTGGGGGAGCAGCGGCGGGAGGGGAGGTCAGGGGTCGTACAGCTGGAGGGCAGCGGGAGGGGCAGGTCAGGCGCCGAGCCCAGCTGACGGGACGTCACACGGTCGTACAGCTGAGGACAGCGGGAGGGGAGGTTAGAGGTCGTACAGCTGGAGGGCAGCGGCGGGAGGGGAGGTCAGGGGGAGCAGCGGCGGGAGGGGAGGTCAGGCGCCGGCGCCGAGCCCAGCTGACGGGACGTCACCCGGTCGTACAGCTGGGAACAGCGGGAGGGGAGGTCAGGGGTCGTACAGCTGGGGAACAGCGGCAGGCGGGGGTCAGAGGTCGTACAGCTGGGGGACAGCGGCGGGAGGGGAGGTCAGAGGTCATACAGCTGGGGGACAGCGGCAGGCGAGATGGGTTCGAGGTCGTACAGCTGGGGACAGCGGTTAACGGGACCGGTCAGGGGTCGCCCACCACAGACGGAGAACAGCGGCGGGAGGGGAGGTCAGAGGTTGTACTCGTACAGCTGGGGGACAGCGGCGGGAGGGGAGGTGAGGGGTCGCACACCACCGACGGACAGGACAGGGGTAAAAGTGGCCCATCCTGACCGCAGAGGGCGGGGAGATACTAACGATCGTCCACTGCGGCCAGGAAGGTGAAAGATGGTCACGACGGCTAGACAGGGCATGAGCGGTCAAGGATGATATCACACCATCACGGTCAGGGAAGGCAGAAGACGGTCAGCGATGGGCGTGAGCACCATCGAGATTGCCTGTTTCTGGATTAAGTGCCGACAGCGCCAACAGAAGAAGATTTGAACTCATCGCAAACCCTTGTTTGATTGCTTGTTTGCGTTAACCCGCTGGTGTTGTGATCGAAGAGTCGACTGCTCTGCGCCGTGCGCCAGGGCGTGCTGCGGCAGTTGGCCCGGCACAAGGGACTCAGGTGCAGATGGCCACACGAACTCACCCTCGGCGGGCGATGGCCGTAAGTCCCAGTACCGTCGGCCCTCTGGGGCTGGTGGCGCCACCGGGCGCGCGCCGCGCCGCACAGCGCCCCCTGGGCGGCGGGTGCGGGCCGCGGCCGGCCGCCCAGCGCCCGGCACAGGCAGCAGACGGGCGGCGGCGGCGGTACCGGGCAGCTGCAGAACAACTCCGTCTGACTGGCCTTGTCCACCACGGCCGGACATCGCAGCACGGGACCGCTCATCGCTGGACACACATCCTCAGCGCTCACCACGAGCCCCGAGATCGAGTGGCGGAACACCGACCACCACCAGTTCAGGCAGACCCGGCAGACGTCTTAATATCCAGTTCAACGGCGGCCAACTCGTGCTCGTGTTATCAATGTAACGCGCAGTCACCTTCACAACGCAAGTGGTGACCATGACTTCTCAGAACAGTTTCGTAGAGATGTTCACTTTTTCAACACCGTCAAAATGGCTCGCAAAAATGAAAGAAAATTTTTTAAAAGAGCGAACAAAACTCAAAAGCAAGTGCAAATATTCAGCGCTATATTATGTAAATGTTTCGGTATGTGTATTCAAGACTGTAAGAAATGTCCAACAGACAATGCCATTGGTCGGCATCGACCGCTCGACACTGGTTAGTGCATTATTTCGCCCCAGTCCAAACTCTGGGTATTGATTGATGACACTACTCTTCCACGTAACAGCAAACTGTAGACGTTCCAAAACTTCAATTTGATTTTAGGATATTTCACTCACTTAAGCGCAGGCAAGTCAAGTCAACATGAAATCAAAGCGAAATATTCCTCTTTGAGCAACTATGATTTTTGTCCCAGCGTACGATCGAGCGTGTTTTCAATTTTCTTCCCTAATCGCACACTAGAAGGTCTTGAATGGGTGGGACACGCAGCTAATTTATTGTTCACGGATCTTGGGGATTGTGTCATAAAACGGACTTAATGCCTTAAGTCAGCGGTATTTGCGACACATATTTTAAAATGACTCCTTTTGTTTTAAGTAATGAATTGATCCGATAGTTGTTCGATCTAATCGTGGTACCGGAAAAATGATACAACAGAATGATCGGTCCAGTTTTCTCACATCAGATAATTCTTATTTTTTCATTGGCGGAAAGGTCATATCGAACCACATTTTGAGTTATGACGTTGCTGATATTAGATAAGGCCATGAAAGTCAGACTCTAGGTCAAGGTAGCAACGCCTGAATAACTGCGGTCAGGTTGTGCAGTTCAGTCACAGTGGCCCCAATTAGGCCAACGTTTCCTGGTCGAGCAGAAAGTTTTGTTTCCAGCCACTTATCACCGATCAGCCCCAGTGGACCGACGCCGGTCACTGGTCCGTCCAAGTGGTCCGACTCTGTCACAGATCACTGGTCTGTTCAAGTGACTCACTAACGTCTGCTCCAGTGACCCACTTCTGTCACTGGTCTGCCAGTGATTCGGAAAGGTCACTGTTCTGGCCAAAAATATGCCTCTCTCACCGGTCTCCGCAATTACTCCGCCTCTCTAACTGGTCTGCACGTCGGTTCGCTTGTCACTGGTCTGCGCGGTCGGTCCGCTTTCGGTCACCGTTTCACTGATTCCCCAGATTCGCACGCATGTCACCGGCCACCGGCCCTCCAACTGACCAGCCTCTCTCACCGGCCCGTCCGACCGACCCACCTCTCTCACTGGCCTCTCCCAGTAGCCCGCCTCTCTCACATCGGCCCACCTCTGTCACCGGTCTGTCCGGTCGGCTCCCGAGAACACCTGCGCTACTGAGCGGCAGCACGGCGGCCCGACCGGCTCACCGACCCCTCGGACAACGCTCAATCGATAGCGTCGCCACGAGTGGCAGCCGGGCCACATGCAAACACATCCGCGCCGCTGGCCGGTCTCGGTCAATGCGAGTGGCCTACCTGAGCTGTGTGACAGTGCCACGCCGGCACCCCGCGGTACCTCTCGGCACGGCCCCGCGGCACGGCCCCACGGCTGGTGTCAGTTCTGGTTACAGGTGACGGGGATTGGCTTGTCGCCTTAGCATAGGATGGATGCTTGTATGGCGTATGCATTGGGAAGCATTGTCGCCGTGAGGTTAACCAAAATGAATAGCGCCTATTGATACGTCAGAGTATAAAGCAGTACAGGGATAAAAGCACGTGTCCATGCACACAAGCAAACACATTAACATACACAAACACATTTAACCACTGCCTCTTAAAGAAGGGGCTGGGAAAGGGGTTTATCATTGACGGCTCAATCTTTCTTCCATCGCTTACCTCTCCGATCCCCATCTCCTATACAAGTGCCAACAGTGCCAGTGGCAACATTCAGTACCCTCTTTCGCCTCAATCTACACATGCTGACCAAATGATTTTTTTCAGAGTCAAGTCGCCCGAAATGACGTGGGTAAAAGCAACGCTATGTTCTGCTTTTTGCCACAAGAAGTATGCTTGCAATTCGTATTCGTTTAATATTTGGTTTTTAACAATTTTTTACCTCAGTGTAGCCCGAAACGAATACGAATTACTATCATTTACCTGAGGAATATTAGAAATGACACTTCGTCAATACCTGAAGTATGCTTGCGAGAAGAAACTGTAACGGCTGAAATTTTATGAGATTGGCCTTAATTAAAATATCTAACAAAAAAAAACTCATTAACGGTTTTCACCTATCTCGGGTCCAAAATGACACAACTTTGATACCAGACAAAAATAACGGAATGTATTGCGTCAAAATATACAAAGCTCAATTTGTACTGTAGCCATTCTAGGCCAAGCAACGTAAGCGATGAACCGACAAATTCACCCATTAAGTTGGATTTCCCAAAAGACGAATATTATTATAACCCAATGTCTCATTTTTTAATCAACGCAGTAAAATCAAAGATGACCGGAGACCAAAACCCATCCTTCTTCCCCTTCCTCCATCCTATGGCTAATAGCCCAATGGTGTTCAGAATAAAGCGAACACCTTTTACTAAGCCTGAACAGGCGGATCACGGGTCACGCCAGTCCAAAGCAGACACGGTCGCTATCCGCGCTGTCCGTTATCTCAGGGACACCGGGACCAAACGACCCTCATAGGGCGCGTCTGGGGCATGTCAGAGACCGGAGCGGTGTGGCACCGGATATTGAATGTTTACAGCGGCTACAGTACGTACAGCTACAGTTTACACTGAACATACTCCGCCAGACAATAATATATCGATGTTTAGAGCACCAGGGTACATATGCGGTGCAGCGGCCCTTCAGCCCTGGTAACAAACTGTGCCAGGGGTGAAAGAAGCATCCCCAAGGTTCTATCATTTGCCCTCCGAGATACCCATTATTGTACAGAAGTAGATTTTCCACAAAAGGAAGATGCCCTCTGACATATACATTACATAACACATACCTAAGTGATCTGACAGACAGACTCAGTGATGAGCCACAGCAGGCTTTGGCTCTGGGCATATTGTTGATGTTTCACACAAGTGACACGTGCATCCGCCATGATAAATCTCGAGGTGGTTGGGTACCGAGAGGCGGCTGTTCGATCCGCACTGAACCCACCTCGAGCAGGGAGTGCAGTGGCCGGTCCTCCAGAATGGGTCGCAGCAGAGTCGCGTCGCCCATGGGACAGCCGTGCAGACACTGGATGTCGTCCAAGGAGTCCAGTATCCGAGACACCGCTATAACAGCAAACATCGGAGTCGCCTCAGACACAAACAAAACACGGCACAAAACAGTGCGCCAGACGATTGGTAATTGTGCACGTTCGTATTCATAACCTTTAGCTTGTCGAGGGATGTCATGTTGGGTGAGCGAATTCATCATCGCTTCTCTGATTAAATCCAGTAAGGCTGAAATTGGCTTGCACCAACAACAGCTACCACACACCAACTTTGATCAATTTTAATGTTCAAGTATGCATGCAAGTGTTTCCGGTCCCGTGTATTCGCCGTATAAACTTATGACTAGCTTAGCCTTCGCATAAGCGTAAGTTTGTTACGCATACCACCTGCAAGTGCACATGCAATGCCTGCTTACGTTTGTTGACCTCATTTATGAATCCCGGCCCATAACTGTTTATGGGCTGAATGACACTGTTTATGGGTTGGAGCAGGTTTTGTGTCGTCAGTGAACAACCCTGACCTCATTCAACAGACGCACCGATTCTAACTATGAATCCCCAATAACCCCGGGTGCCAGGTGTGCTCGGTGTGAGCCAGAGTACCTCCCCGCTCGCGCGCGCGGCGTACCTGCGGTGGCGGCCTCCTCCTCTGCCGACTCGGCCAGGCCATCGTAGCCCGTGTCCGTCTGTGTGGGCGCCCAGCGCGACGAGCTGACGGCCGCCAGCACGGCGCCCTTGAGCTTGCGGCGCGCGTTGAAGCAGCGCATCTCGTCCACGGTGCGGCTCAGGTGCTCCGTGGACGGACAGCTCTCCCGGTCCTGGTGGCACGGACGAGCGGTACCGTCAGTCACAGACAGTGAATCCTGCTTATCTACGACAGATACGCAGTCTCGTCAGCCACAGACAGGAAAACCATCACAACGGCAGATACGCAGTCGGCGGGCAGAGTCGGCTATATATTTATGACGGTTTTTAATCCTTCCTGCTCGACATTCTGTTTCTCACAAGCGCATGATGTATATACTATAATTATATACTGTACACCTTTCCTTTCAAAGGTTTCAATTCGTGGTTCACTGGCTTTTGATTGACTATGTATAGCACATGCGTGTCAATAAGTGCATCTCATCCATTGAGCCGGATACAATTATATTATGAAGGATACAGTCACTGCCCAGCCCAGTGCTCCCGACAATGCCGATTTTCCTCACCTTGATCCACGCGTGGTTGAGCGCCTGCGCCACGGTGGCGCGCTGCTGAGGGTCGCACGTGAGCAGCCGCCTCACCAGGTCCCGGGCAGGCTCACTGACATCTCGCATCGGTCCCGAATACAGCTGCCGGGCCAGCAGAGAAACATGCCAGGTGCTTTGAAGTTTGGCAAATACATTATTACATTGGAACATACATTGTACATTATTTCAAGGCAATATGCATAAACCAATAATTCTGGCGTAGCAATAAAAAATAACAAGTAAGGAAATTCAAGCTACATATTAAAAAAATAAACAATAAAATCGCAGCTCTGCGCTCATGATGTGTGGGGTGGCAGTGAAGTGAAGGGCGGCGCCACTGACGTTCAGCTTGCCGCTGCAGATGTTGTCGTAGAGCCGGTCGCCGGTGCCGTAGAACGGCAGCATGCCCGACAGCAGGATGTGCAGCATGACGCCGGCCGACCAGGCGTCCACCGGTTTGCCGTACGCCTGTCGCTGGATCACCTCTGGCGCCATGAACTGGGGCGTGCCGATACGGCCTGCCGAGGGGCGCAGACCAGCCGTCAGCGCGCGCGCCCGACTCGGGCCGAGCCCAGTCTTCCAGTCCCACCAGTGACAAACACTCTCGCATACCATTACAGCACGGTCTGACAGGCCTGCTGTCGCCCTCCCTTTACGCCTCGCACGCTGCCGATCTATCGCTGCCGATCTACTAACCATCCGATATCATTCTGTGACTCACCCCCGTTGATGAGCTGGTTGTCTTGCAGCTGGACAGCCACGCCGAACCCTCCGATCTTGACCGGCGCCGAGTTCTCTTTAGTGGCCAGCAGCACGCAGTGCGGCTTGATGTCGCGGTGGACGATGTTGTTGTCGTGACAGTGCCGCAACGCCTCCAGAATTTGCCGCATGTAGTGGCTGAAAAAGTACGGGTCTCACGTTAGCAGCATTCAGGCGTTGGCGCCAATGTCACTGACAGTTCAACTTCAATGTCACAGTGGTGTGGTTATACCACAAATGTGAAAGTATGAAAACCATCGTAGAGATATTGTCAGGCAACAAGCGCATTTCAAGAGAATTCAAAGCCAAAGAATCATAGTTCCACAGCAACACAAATAAAGCAGTTCCTAACTTCCTTCCCAACATCACAAGATCAGTCCTGTCCCTGGCTTGTTGAACTTCAAAGTACATATCGTTTGAATTACCGAAAATAATAGAATCATGTTCAGCTACAATTGACATGTCGAATGCCGTGGCACAGGTGATATACTTACCACATTCGAAGTTTACGGCACGATGGTAGGTACTCTATCTCACCTGGCGACTGCCTCACTGTAGACGAAGCCCAGGTTGGCCCGTTTGACGATCTCAAAGCACAGGTCGGCGCCGTCCATGCTGTAAAATACACCAGCCAAACAACGTTAGAAACCAGAAATGTCTGACTGAAAACCGCTCGTCAGCCGGAGATGGATACCTAATGAAGCCACCTCATCCGTATTTGTTTGAGAACTTTCCAATAACAATGTGGTAATATCCTCCAGCAGGATTAAGTTAAAAATGTGGAGTGAAATCACCGATCATATTATCGTGTTTTGGCTCGTGGCAATAGAGAACAAAATCAGTCAGCAATCAGCATGTAACCATTTGATATTGATTGTTCTTAGTCACACTTGTCAGGCGAGTGTGTTGCAACAAGTTCAAGATTAAACAAGACCAGCATCCACCTCTGAATTCCAAGCCTTGATTCCATTGGAGATAATATTCATAGCATGACGTGCAATGCATTGTGTGACTGTCAAGTGACAACGTCATAATTGAGAAGGAATCTGCGGGAAACATGCCATGACTGTCGATGAGGTCCCACATGATCCCAGCTAGTCTGCTAGTCGGAAGCTATTGGCAGCGGTGGCCGCAAGCTCACTGGCATGACGATAATTGAAGAAGGACAATTTCAACGTTGAGTAAGTCAAACAAACAGCTGTTCCAATCGGCACATGTACTCACTATTCGAACACCATGTAGAGCATGCCTTCTGATGAATAAGTCTCCAGCAGCTCCACGATGTGAGGGTGTTTCAGCATGTGGCATATGGTGGCCTCTCGTTTGAGGTCTGTCAAAATGCACGAGTCGCAATGGTCAGAACTCTAGTCGGGTCCAAATGGTCAAGGCCTACTTGTAGGCTAGGTATACTTCGGATCTATCCCGACACGGTCTACAGAATACAGCGAACAAGTCAGGTCATGTCAGAGAAATCAGTTGTAAAGGGATAAATACACCAACAAATAATGTGGAGGGATTCATTGAAGTGTGGTGGATGCGGCTGATGTGAGCAGAGCCACAGCACACCGTAATGCAAGCCAAAACACAGCTGACACTTAGCAATGTATAACCATTTTTAGGAGACCCGAGACATTCTGGGAAACCTGACGGCGAGCGTAAGAATGTCCTGCCCTGGCGCAGGATGAACAAATTAATAAATTGCGATTTGTCGCTATTCCCGTGGCAAAGGCCTTACTTACTACCTGCCTTACTTACTTACTTGATTACTTATTAACCGTCGTTTGTACATATGCAACTTCATGCGTCAGAAGCTACTGATATTGTCTAACGAGAAACAATAAGCAGTTGGCAGTTGGCACACACTTAAAAAAGTGACTGATTATTTGATGGACTGAACACAGCACCACTCACTGAAGCGACAGCATTAGGTACCTTCGGTGCCCAGGCCGGGACTGGCGGTGAATTTGGCCACATCGACGATCTTCACGGCGAACTGTTGTCCGGTCGGCCGGTGGATACATCGCTGCACCACGCTGAACGGACCCCTGCGCGGCAGCGGCAGCACGTCAGGCGCGGCCTGAAGGTCGCCAGTCACACCACACACCACTTCAGCCAGAAAGGTGCAAAAATATATCAATATTGTGACATTGCAGCATAAGTGATAAGTGCTTCAAACATGCTTCATACAATGTCACTATTCCCGTGGTGCTGCAATGACTTGAGACATAAAATACATGAATGTAGTCGCTGCTTTAGGTGGATGTGCCCTTCAATATGAAATATAAGTGAATATTCAGAAGCACACAATATTCTCTGTTTCACCCAGAATGTAACATGCGATATAACTACCTGTTCAATGTTCCAATCATGCTTGTAAGAGCATAGAAGGGTATCTGATGGACAGTACTGCACAAATAGCTCTGTTTGGATACTAATTCAGTTTACTTACTTTCCAATTACTTCACAGAGCTCGTAGACATCATCGAACACGACATCATCGTCGTGGTTCTCATCATAAGTCTGGTAGAGCATGGACATGCTGCACCACCGTCACCCCCTGGTGACAGTGAGCCAGTAGCCGCAGCCAGAGGGTAGCTCTCTGCCTCCACTGAAAAAGACATCAGTCTGGGGATCAGCTACCTAAGGATGCAGCAGATTACTTAGGCTCCATCATCATGAGCATTAACCCTCGCCAGTCGCCCGTATGGGGCGGGGGGGGGGGGGGTCGAACGGACCCCCCATCACCCTAGGTTTTTCGCAAATAGCTCGCGTAAAAAGCAGCCGATCGCGACGAAACTTTCAGTACCCCCGAGTTAATCAATTTTACACCTACCCTAAAAATTTCATGACCTGACCCAAATGACCTTTGACCTGTGACTGTGAACTATCCTCGAGACCATGTTTGGCCGGAATCGCGATTCGGCGTATGTCGGATCGCATTAGCCGCGCGTTTGCAGTCTTTTCGTAGTTTCAAGCGTTCAAACATGTGATACGATGTTGGTCCCATGCATAAGAGTGTATGTCAAGGTTACCTGAAGGTCAGGTCAGGTCATTGACTTTTGATGACCTCGGTTCACTTTTTCGAGTTTTACATGTTTCTAGAATAGTTTTGGGACTGAATTCGAATTTAGCAGCCATTTGAACATTTACGAAGCAGTTACGAACTGTGGTGCCTTCATAACATGTTACGAAGCTGTCATAGGCGGTTGACACCTACCACGAATTCCCGGCAGGACCCCTACTGGTGACCTGAATTGACCTGACTCGACCGTGCATAAATGCATGAAGATATCATCTAAGATCAAAACCAACATGATATTCGTGATCAGCACCCCGAAAAAAGCAAAGCAGCCACACTTTACGACGTTCTAATAGGTCCCAATTTTCCTGATTTTTGGGTCATTGACCTGACCTGGAAGGTCAAGCAATGACATAGGACCTTAAAAATGGGTATCATCGGATTCCTCTCGTCACGGGCAACACGCTCGCTTTTTCTACGAAGCTCTAGCTCGATCAGGGGGCAAACGGCAAGGGCCAAGGGGAGGGTCCAACGGACCTCCCCCCTCTTTATACGATCGCGGCTGGCAAAACACCAATTAATGGGAGAGGGTAGGACAAGGTACAGGAACCAAAAGAGGGGTTCAAAAGGACAATTGAATTTATCCTCTTAGAGTTAGGGTCAGTCACAACCTCCTAATACCTCCTCAGGCTCATTTTGGAACAAAGTCTCTGGTATTATGAGAAGCTTTCTAAAAAAAGTTGTGAAATAGGTACAGAACTTCTAGTGAGACATAATGGCAAAAGGACATGGCTTCAACATTGTAGGTATACCTTGCAAGAGGCAATGCAAGAGACCACTCTGATAAGAAGCTTTATGCTTAAGGCTCTCTATTGTGTCCTGTGCCAACTGAGAGATCATATCAGTCTTTCTGCCAAAATAATTTTCCTTGCCTCTTTTGTGACACTTTTAAGCTTCAGTTCCTACCTTGAGTCTGCTTCAGTAGTCCATGGTGGAGCATTCACCCTCTGAGCCAGCCAACATGTGGCAAGAGCTTGGGTTCATATCCTGTGATGGCTGCAAGAAGAAACAGATTGAAGCAGCAAATAATAACCTTGTGCCTTGTGGTCTGGCTTTGCACTGTGCTGGTGCCACACAGTGGAGTCCAGTGGGACAGCAGTCTCTGACTCTCCCACAGCACTCAGTGGGACAGTCTCCCAGCCTGAAGGGGGCAGTGACCAGGTGCCTGTGGGCAACAGCAGCTGGGCCGTTGGGGCAGGGCCTGAGAGGTGCAAGTTGTGCTGTTCTGTAGGTACTGATACTGTTAGGTATTTGTTTTCTGTTATGTCAGCATTATCATAGGCTAGGTATTAACCCAGCAGTTACTGTGGTATTTTGCCAATTGCTGGTTGCTGCGGCGTTATATGCCCTCAGCTGATAAGTTGGTTGAGAACCCATAGGAACCTAGGGCAATGTGTGAGGCTGCAGCTGATTTTAACTATATTGCAATTTTAAGCCTGCCTATAATCACTTGAAGCGCTCTAATGAAAAGCCCACATGAAACCTCCATACATGTAACACAGTCCAGCTGAAAACTTCTTCTTAGTCTTGATTTTTTCTTTCAGCTCTTTTCATTGCAATAGCTCAACTCCTGCCTTGCTTGTTATAGTACCTATAGCAATCATACAGGCTGAAAAAATAGTACTATAGCTGCGGCTGCTCTTGGGCTGCTCCAACCAACTGCAGACCATCCCCTTCAGGAGTCTCAAATATCAATATTGTGTGCCAGTGCAAATCGGAAACTTGCCTACGACAAAAATTGGCAATCAACAGCCCTAAATAAAAAACAAGACAAATGCAAAAAGTGCATTTTCAAGTTTTCAACATCACCCACCGTTGAGTGATCATGCGTTGTGCCTAGCCTATCTCTCTGTGGGTTTTAATCAAGGCCATATATGGTTTTAATTGTGTGAGCACAGGCAACAGCAAAGGAGAGGTGAGTAAATATCCTTCAGTTTGATATCACATGAATTATTGACTTCAACATGTTCTTCTTCTTTCCTTACCTTATTTCATATCTACATTGGGCCACAATTAGATGGTCCGTAAAATTGGGCAATATCAATGCTATTAACACGCCCCCACACCACTTCTGTGTACATATTTTGCAAGGCTATATAAACCATATTTTGCACCTATTCCATATCCTCCCACATGCCTTATTGATCTCCCCGACTGCAGAGCCGCCTGGTGGTAAGTCCTTGGTAACCATACGGGGGCAACTTTGTAGTTCTTCTTCTAATGCCAACCCGCCTTGACGCGCAGTTAAGTACACACATGTCAGTTCTTGGCGCATATGTGCAGAATACAACGCGTGTATCATAAATTACGCTTCTTTGCGTGCAAGAAAACGCTAAATATGTATCAATTATTATCATGCATCACGATCTACGCAAGGAGGATGCTGATGGAAGGAATAGCCAATCATGGAAGACTCGGGGCCTCGATTATCGGGAAAGAGGGAAAAGGGCCACCAGGGATAACGCGAGCCTAATCTAACCTAACCTAACCTAACCATTCCCCTCCCACCTTTTTCGTTAAGGATCAGACCTTGCCCGTACTTCGGCCGGAGTAAGTGCAGGAGCTAACCATAGACCATAGTCAAACCAGATGCGGTCCAAACCAATTTTCCTCGCTGGGCGTAAAGTTGTAACGTACCCATGCGTATGTAATATAAGGCCAGGTGCCTGTATAAATATAAAATAAAGAACACACGCGGTTGCCGAGGGGAGTCGGGGACGTCCCCCGGATTCCTCGACAGTGGGGACGCGTCCCCCTCCCCCGCCGGCCGCATTCGACAACCATGCATGTCATTCGAAACGTATCTTTGTATTCATTCATTACATCTAGATATAGAAGCATGCATTATTCGATACAAGTTAATGCTATAATCTTTGCCATAGGAATGATTCGACCGGTGCATGAACTTTATAGGCGACGCTCCCCTCTACAAATCGTGAAATAACGTTGTATATTATCTATTTGATGTTGTACCGGCCAACGAAAGAGAGGCCGATTCCCAAAGGAACATTGATTGGTGTGGCAGCTCTCTTGCAATATATGTAGTTATGTTGAACTTGGCACTACCTATAAAAGAAGGTACTTTTCTATTCTGCTGGCATTCCGAAGCCGCCGCATCCGGCAGTTCAGCTCAGGCAACCAGCACACCTCTGATACAGTTCCTCTCGTCATGTCCGTCCGAGCAGTGAGGAACGCCGTCACACAGCGTCTCCACCGGCAGACAGCGGCCGTCGCAGCTGTACTCGCCGGTCGTACACTGCTCCGTCCGCGAACAGCCGTACTCCTCCGACTCGTCCGAGTTATCGGCGCAGTCCTTACGGCCGTCACACGCGTAACACGAGTCTATACAGCGGGGCTCACCGCTCAGGCACTCGAACTGGTCCGTGCGGCAGCCAGGAGGAGGCGGCGGCGGTGGCGGCCGGGGGGTAGTGGTCGTGGTTGTGGTGCATCCCCACTCATCGGAGCCGTCCGAACAGTCCCAGCGTCCGTCGCAGCGGAGCCGATTGTCCACGCACCGGTCGTCGCAGCGGAACTCGTAATAGAAGCACGGACGTGGCGTCGTCGTTTGTCCCGGGCAGTCTATCTCGTCACTACCGTCCACACACTCCACCCCGCCATCACACCTGTAGCAGTAAGGAATGCAGCGGCCGTCCTCTATACACCTGAACTCATCCCGGCGACATCCGGGCGGGGGCGGCGGGGGCGGACGGGGCGTAGTGGTTGTAGTGGTTGTGGTGCATCCCCACTCGTCAGAACCATCCGAACAATCCCAACGCCCGTCGCAGCGAAGCCGATTGTCCATGCACCGGCCATCACAGCGGAATTCGTAGTACGTACAGGGCCGCGGAGTGGTTGTGGTAGTGGTTGTGGTGCATCCCCACTCGTCAGAACCGTCCGAACAATCCCATCGCCCGTCGCAGCGACGGTTCAGATCGAAGCACCGGCCATCACAGCGAAATTCGTAGTACGTACAGGGCCGCGGAGTGGTTGTGGTAGTGGTTGTGGTGCATCCCCGCTCGTCAGAACCGTCCGAACAATCCCAGCGCCCGTCGCAGCGACGGTTCAGATCGAAGCACCGGCCATCGCAACGAAATTCGTAGTACGTACAGGGCCGCGGAGTGGTTGTGGTCGTCGTGGGGCAAAACCTCTCGTCCGTGCCGCTGGGGCAGTCGGCTCTGCCGTCACAGAGCTGGCGGTTGTCCAGGCAGCGGCCGTCACAGCGGAAGCGGCCGTCGCCGCAGCGCTCGGCGCAGCCGTGCGCCTCCGTCTCGTCACTGCCGTCCGGACAGTCGGCGCGCGTGTCGCACGTGTAGCAGTCCTCGATACAGGTGCCGTCCAGACAGCGGAACTCGCCCGGGCCGCAGCCGAGACCGCCGACTGCTTGGCGCGCTCTTCGGCTCGGAGGATGGTCCGAGCCGTCCTGCACAGCCACTCTTCCGAGAGCAGGCACACTGACGGCTAGCAGCAGAGCCGTCAGCAGGTGCACTCTCATGGTCGCTACGGTTGTTCTGTGTCTCCCCTTTTCTATCTTTTTCACGTTCTCACTCAGTCTTTTTCTTCTCTGCCGGTGTGAAACTGGACGGTATCGGCAGCCCGGTGGTTCTGGTGGCCGTGCCGGGAGGCCGCCGTCGGCCGACTGAGTCAAACGGCGGCCACGACAGACGCACCGCCCGGCCCGGCAATCGCTCATCCAGACGTGTCAGCGAACCTAGCGACCGGCGACGGCCGCACATGACCAGACCACCCGAGAGCCTTGACAGGACGTTTTTTAACCCCTGACGTCTACCGAGGTGTAGCCATTGCATCGACTATACACTTATCCCTTCGATGCAATCTCTAGAACAGCTTTTCCTAGAACCAACGCCTAGCTGATGTCTTGAGTTTTCCGTGTCGTGCTGGGGGTGGGGGTGGGGCATTTTAACGTCCCCCGTCTAGCTCGGGTCCTGGGCCACGTAGCGACACGCGGTAAACGGCATTCGAAAGAGCGTTAAAAATAATGACGGAAATACTCAGTCATTTTTATGTAAGGTCAAAGGTCAGGCTATTAAAGGTCACCAAAGGTCAAATTTTACCTATTTCAACAATTTTCGAAAACCTGGCGCAAAACCTGGCAACCAATAGAGCTAGAGCGCCGCGAAAAAGCGCATTCGATGGTTCCTTCAGCGTTCTTTCGCTAGCCTGCCCTCAGATTTGACCTCAGGTCAACAGTTTAGCCCTCAGAGGGCAAAAACTAAAAACAGGCGCTTTTACGAAAAATGTTTTTATGTAATAACTATTGATTCCAGAGATGCACGACATTACTTTTGCCAGCATTGTGCTCCTCTCGTCAAGACGCGTCGAATGGACTAAGTTGACTTTGAAAGGTTATTTTGAAAATTTGACCCCAGGTCAAGGTCATGATCTGACCGGAAAAGGTCATGTTGTATATCAGTCGATCCGTATCGTCGAGCTGAACACATCTTAGGCGTTTTCACCGCTCTAGCATCTGGCTAACAAAAGTTAATGCAAAAAAAAAAACTGTTGGGGGCCTTTCATGACCTGAGATGACCTCAGGGGCACAAAGAGGGGTCATAGATGCAATTGTTTTATTCAGTGTGTCATGTTTACCCATAAACAGGTGTTGTTTGAGAGTGTTTAGAATGACGTTCATCCACAAGAAGCGCATTTCAATTTTCTCCCATTGACGTGGAAAGATAGAGAAATTGACAAGACCTTAGGCCGCATATATCAAAATTCCGGGATACCTATACATTTCATAAATACAATTACTCTGATCAATCGCTAAAAGTTTCAAAGCGATCATTCAGTCGGTGTAACTATAGCGAGCATTGGAACTGTTTGTGAGGTAAAGTCACTTAACGTGACCTGGTAACCTGACCTTGAACGACCCGGGTCTGAAATTTTCACAACATGTGCAGAAAAGATGTATGAACAAGTGTTCTAAAGTTTTTGATATATTGTGAAAAACCTGACGGGGGCGTAAGAACGCCCCCCCCCCCCACGCCAGCACGGCGCCCTCGAGCAAAAACAAGGCACTCGGACGTTGCAGGTGCGTTCGCGGTATGCCATTGTGACAAACATGCCCGTCACATGCGCTCCACTCCATCACCGCATCACGCAAGCACGACACCCCACCTCGTGGGAGGGCGGCAATTGGTGACGAACGCCACCGGCCGCTGACCAGTCGCTTCGTTTATGCGGGGATGGCGAGTGACGACGGGTGTTTATTGACTCACAGTCGCACAAGACGCAGATATGGCGCAGCTGGCAGAACAGAGGTGTCGCCTATTTCAAAAATGAGCGGCGGACTCAGTGTGATGCGAGAGACGGACGGCGCAGCAGGGCTGAGAGAGCCGGCGCCTGGTGCGCGCGCTGCGGCAAAACGACAAAAGCGGACGTGATCCGAGTTCCGAAGTCAGTTTACTAAGGTACTGCTACAAAGGTGGCGACCATGAGAGTGCACCTGCTGACGGCTCTGCTGCTAGCCGTCAGTGTGCCTGCTCTCGGAAGAGTGGCTGTGCAGGACGGCTCAGAACATCCTCCGAGCCGAAGAGCTCGCCAAGCAGTCGGCGGTCTCGGCTGCGGCCCGGGCGAGTTCCGCTGTCTGGACGGCACCTGTATCGAGGACTGCTACACGTGCGACACGCGCGCCGACTGTCCGGACGGCAGTGACGAGACGGAGGCGCACGGCTGCGCCGAGCGCTGCGGCGACGGCCGCTTCCGCTGTGACGGCCGCTGCCTGGACAACCGCCAGCTCTGTGACGGCAGAGCCGACTGCCCCAGCGGCACGGACGAGCTCGGCTGTAGGCCCGTCACCACGACCACAACCACGACCACAACCACTCCGCGGCCTTGCACGTACTACGAGTTCCGCTGTGATGGCCGCTGCGTGGACGATCGACTCCGCTGCGACGGACGCTGGGATTGTTCGGACGGCTCCGACGAGTGGGGATGCACCACAACCACTACCACAACCACTCCGCGGCCCTGTACGTACTACGAGTTCCGCTGTGACGACCGGTGTTTCGACATACGGCATCGCTGCGACGGACGCTGGGACTGTTCTGATGGGTACGACGAGAGATTCTGCACGACGACCACAACCACGACGACGACCACTCCTCGACCCTGCACGTACTACGAGTTCCTCTGTGACGGCCAGTGCATGGACAACAGCCGTCGCTGCGACGGCCGGGTCGACTGCTCGGACGCGTGGGACGAATGGGGCTGCGAACCTCCCACCACCACACCACGTCCGTGCTTCTATTACGAGTTCCGCTGCGACGACCGGTGCGTGGACAATCGGCTCCGCTGCGACGGACGCTGGGACTGTTCGGACGGCTCCGATGAGTGGGGATGTCGACCATCGACCACCACAACCACCACCCCAAGGCCACCGCCGTCGCCCGTCCCTGTGATCGGCTGTCGTACGGATCAGTTCCAGTGCCTGAGCGGCGAGCCCCGCTGTATAGACTCGTGTTACGCGTGTGACGGTCGTAAGGACTGCGCCGATAACTCGGACGAGTCGGAGGAGTACGGCTGTTCGCGGACGGAGCAGTGTACGACCGGCGAGTACCGCTGCGACGGCCGCTGTCTGCCGGTGGAGACGCTGTGTGACGGCACAGAGAACTGCTCGGACGGATATGACGAGCGGGATTGTATCAGAGCTGTGCTATCTGCCTGAGCTGAACTGCCCCACGCAGCCGCACTGGCTGGCGCGGCGACACTGTAGTAGCTGCTAATTTCTCATGAGAACCGCGCATGCTTTAGTTTAAGATTACTCAGCTTGTACGATATTTAAGACAGTAGGACATTTCATTCCAAGTTTAGTCGATAAAAATATTTTCACGTAATACCTGCGAAGTCAAAGTAACGTTTATCTTTACTTCGTGTGAATGGCCTCGCAATCGGACGCATATTTTGGTAGCTGTACCTACTCTGTATTTTCATAATAAATACAAGTTTCATCAACGAGTGTGATACACAATTACCGACGTGCGCCAGTAAGACGCCTTCTAGATCAGCAAAAACGCGAGCGCATCAGCTGACCCTGCACGTATGTAGTGCGCCAGTGTGACGTGAGATCTTAATTCTTAACCGACTTGGTTTGTCCGGGTCGAATTTCCAACCAGTCCCCAGAAGTGCAGGTACCCGATTTATGCGCAATCGGTCCAACCGTTGTTGAGCTATAGAAGCGAACTCTGCATGCAGCAGCACCCCAGCCGTGATGCATAGAAAAGCATAAACCGTTGGGTGTCCAACGAAAGGCCACGCTTCAGCGTATTCGATTCGGTCATAGCGGAGTTATCAGCGGAACAATCTTGACACCAATCACTTGGCAATGGCATGTGACAGGTGACGTAGTGGTTACCAAAATCCATCCATATGATCATATCCATTAAAATCCATACGAGATTAATGAGCCGTTGCACGGCGAGGCGGTGCAGGAGCTGGCTGCGCCGTCCACGCCTCAGCAAAGTAGGATGCACTCAAGTTTCTCATATACCCCTAGACTCTTATGCGACGGCGTATGGATATATAATAAGTCCAGCGTCCAGTTTCCCTCCAAAATTTGGACGCGTCGCCGTACGTGGCAAGCAAGGATGCGGACCAACAGCATCACAGGTCTCCCCTGTACGGTGAGGTAAGCCAGTTCGGCTCCATGGACAGTGGCCGCTACACGGCCTTCGACGCGCACCGAGCACGGACAGATGGCACAAGTATGACGACCACGAGGTGACTGTATAGTGAGTAGACTGAATAGAGGAGGCAAGCAAAGTTCGGCTGGCTACACACTCTTCTATTCGTGAGGGTAATGCGAGTTTGTTGCGGCCGGACTGTACTAACTGTTTTATGCTTTTTTAAAGCGTGGTAATAAATATCATGTTAATATCTTTGAATGTGAGAACTAAAGAATACGGACAACGGCCGAGGGTAAAGGATGTCGTGGCGCTGTGCAGACGTGAGGAATTTCAGAACAGCCTACTAACTGTGGGGAGTTCGCCACAACTATCAAACATCAAGCTCACAGCAACCTGGCATATATTTACGTTGGCATTCACACTGACGATAACAAAAACACGACAGTGTAAATTAAAGCACGCCTTGTCGATGTAAAATGATGTAAATAAAAAACGGCGCAGTGCCTGAGTGTTTGTGTGTATGTGAATGTGTTTGTGTGTGTGTGTGTGCGCGCGCACCAAAATGCAGTGTTTACTGTTTATCAAATGACTTCTATATGACTGTGATTGTATCACAGGCACAAATCACCAGCTGTGAGCTGACACAAGGAGCGGACACAAAATCACCAGCGGTTAAATCACAGTGGTACAGAAATGCAGCAATCGTCTTTGTTGAACCCTTAGTTCAAAATAGTTATAAAATCGTTAATCGCTAGCCGATAGTCGTTAAATCGTCATTAAGTTTAATCTGATACGTAATTTAAATGTATCCAATTTGACCTAATAACGATTTAACGAATAACCGTTTACGATCGATTTTAAAACGATTTTAGGCTAAAGATGTAACGAAAGCCACTGCTGATTTACTTTCCTAGCCTGTCCTATTTCATGAACAGCGGTATATCTATCACTTCTTTAGATAGCTGGTGATTTTCGCTTGCCGTGATACGGTCCGGGCTCTGGAAGTCTCGCTGATGACCTCGAACCGCGCGAACTGCTGCGTCGCGTCCCCAGAGTCGGCAGCGGCGGTGGGCGCGGCCCGGCCGGCAGCGACCGCCGAGTCGGAGTCAGAGTCGGTGCGCCGCCTCACGCGCTTCACGCCGTTGGTCGCCTCAGACTCAGTGCCGGCGGGCTGCCTGTCCTCGATCTGTTCCGGCTCCTGGCGACACAGCGAGCGGCAACCGGATCATCGGGCGGCCCGGCTCACTTCCAGTTGGAAAACAGGGATTTGGGGGAGCTGGTTGAACACTGAGGGACGGCCAATGACATTTTGAGCTGAAAAAGCGGCTTCACGTCACCCCCTTCCCTCAAAAAAGCAAATCGGCTGGCTTCACTGGATTTGCACAAATTCATTAGGTATCTTAAATCGATACAATCGTGACAAACTTGATAACAGGACCGAATCAATACCGAATCATGCCACGGCAACATTCTCCCATACGATTCAATCGCGTCTTTTTTTTAAGGCCCTTTCGGTCTGATAAGATTATTTCAGAGCCAGAAGGATGGGATTATAGGAATTAGGGAGAGACTCTGGGCAGGCACCCTAGCGAGTCACCAGGGCTGAGCCCGTCCAAAGAGACAGACCGACCAGCCCTCAAAGTACTCGCTGCACCCGGCTACGGGTGTGCTCCCTCGGGAGCAGCGGTGCCACTCCAAGGGAGCAGCCCGCATGGGATAAAGGTGCCTGTCCAGCCCGAACTGAGGGTTGCAGCGTGGAGGAGAAAGATTTGAATGTCATGTCGAGGATGGAAACGACGGACGGGTGTGAATCGCGTCTCAACTACTTTACGAGTATATCGCAACTCTATCCCAACTAAGCTCCTCCCACATAGTGATACGCTCGCTCGTTAGGTTGGTGATACGCTCAACCCACAACTCAACCCAATTCAGTCAATAATATGAGTATGTTATCACTAACAACAATATGATATCATATATCACATACAGCGGTCTAGCAGTTCTTTGTCGACAAAATTACCAGCTCTAATTTAGGAACAGGCATGCCTTCCTAAATGGAGACTGTAGTCCGATGAAATTGGAAGGCCGATTTCCAATTTACCCTAGTTCCAAACTTAGTCTCCATTTGTACTGTTCAATTGTACTGTACAATGTACCGTACAGTTTTGAAGGTACAAAATTGCACAGTGATTGAATAAGTTTGTCGAATAAATCACTAAAAAATAAATGAGTAACCGATTAAACCATTTTGCACGTCTCTGATACATATGTGTACAACTATAAAACATGTAGCTGTAATTCATTCGCGATTTATATACATCATCAATAAGTGATTCGCAAACCGACTCAAACTCAGTCGGTTGAAATTTTCGTCTTATTCAATTCAGTTGATTCTATTCATTCATATCTGAATTACTTATAAAATCCTGGTTTCACACTCAACCGTATAACCCGTAATCTGTACAGAATACAATAAAAATTAAATGAAATAAAAATAAAAATCGCAGTGTTCGTGCAATATTGGCCAGATTCAAAACGGACAAGTTGGAAGGGGGCAAACCAATCATGTTCGTAATATACAAAAAGAGTCGCACAAAGTATCCAACAAAATGGTGCTAATGCTGAATATGCCAAACCGCTCCATAAAATGCTGCCGACGTCTGATACAGTAAAACAGTGGCTGGTGGGGCGGCCTTGGACCACTGGCTGGCAGCCGGTACGGGTGTGTTTGTTTATACGGCGGACGCCTGCCTCAGACCAGTGCGCCGGCGACACCGTCCCTGTCCTTTACCCCCCTCCCCCCCCCCCGAGGTCTCCTTCCCAGAGGTCAATAGGTCACCTGCTCAGCTACGGATGAGGGAGGCAGACATTATCACAAGGCCCATCCGCCATATGAAATACATTATACAACAGTTTCGAATTTCGATCGTGGCATTTTTTACTTTTTTGGAAGAGGCTGACTGAAATTACCCAGTTTGGGCGGCCCGGTTTTTATCAGTTTGGGCCACAGAAGCCCGACGGGCGTCGCCTAAAAACTGTCCAATGGGACAAGGTCACGCGTTAGTGTTTTTCGGTGAATGTGGCGTGTCTGGTTCATTTCAAACGAACGGACGGGCGGACGAGAAGAAGAAAAAACGCAACATTTATAAAACATAATTAAAAAAGAAATCCTTGGCATCCCATGAAAGCATCACTGGCAAAAGCATCAATAGAGCGAAAACAATTGGTGGTTACAACATCATGGTCACCATTATTTTATATGCTTCATTTAGTTCAACCAATAGGCACTAATATTAGTATTGGAAGTTGTTACAGTCTTTCCCGAGAAATTCGCCATGATACTTACCATTTCAGCCGTAACGTCTGATTCACAGGCTGACCTTGCTTCAGATTCTACATCAAGCGACTCTTGACTTTCCTCTGAAACATAAAAATACATTTTGCAAATTAATCTATGATCCATCTTACACCATTGCTCTACGAAAGGACCAAGACATGACCCATTTATTGTAATGTTCCAGTTAAGATAGACATAAGAAATGTTTACCGTTTGCTAATCAGGCAAGCGGGATCAGAGGGAACGAGGGAAAATAGCTAGAGTACAGATCACTTCGGCGGAAAGACCTGCGATCGGAGCCAGTCGCCGTATTACAGGTCAAGTTTCTGTGGTCTGCATTCGTTGATTTAATTTCGCGGCGATTTAGCCTGACCTGGTGGGCTGAGCTAGGTGTTACTCTGGTACGATACCGCACCTGGCTGCTGCGGCGCTGCGGGCTCAGCGACCGGCCCCGGCTCCGGCTCCGGCCCCGGCTCCGGCTCCGGCTCCGGCCCCGGTTCCGGCTCTGGCCCCGGCTCCATCTCTGCGTCCGTGTCCGAGCCGTAGTCGGATCCGGCGCCCCCGGCCAGCCGATGGCGAACGAAGCGCAGCAGGTCCGGCCGCTGGCTGTGGCCGTCGTACAGTCGGCCGTACTCGAGCAGCGCCCTGCCGCAGGCGGAAAAACATACGTGTCATGTATTGGCTAAAGAAAACACAAGTTTCAGGTTGCATGACGTGGGCAAAATGGGGGAAATTCGAGCAAGAAAGTAAGGGATTGAGATAAAAAGTTTTAAACCGTCGACTTGTTTGCAAACAAGAGAAATTCAGCGCAGTCTGAAATCGGACTTACTTGTGGAGCGCTCCGACGGTGACATTCCTCTCTCGGAGGAACGCGTGGATGTCCAGCAGCTTGTCCCTCAGCATCTCGTCACCAAACGTCAGGTAGATGACTTCCCGGCCCGCCAGTGCCGCGGCCATCAGTTGCAGCAGCGCTGCACAACGCGAAAACATCACAGCCTATCAGTCTACAGACTAGACATAAACAAGTACTGTGTTAAAACACCCTCGCACAAACACTTTTTGGCTAGCGCGGACCACCAACACCGTACAGGGTTAAGAAAATAAACGCGAATCCAGACGGGTTAGATCTACTGTCTCCGGTTCACGCACGACTTATTATATGGGACATTATATAGGATTATATGGATTATATATTATATGGATATATGGATTATATAGGATTATATGGGATTATATGGGACATATACTAGGAGGCGGGAAATAATATTTGCCTTTGCCTAGAGTACTGTGGGGGGCTGGGGGCGTTTAGTTGACGGCTTCAGTGAGCACCGTTGTTTTTTTTTGCGACGGGTTGGTTTACAAATTATTACATCACATTCGATACTGAGAAAGCTTTGCTGGTAGGGTCACCCTTTCTTCGAACATCCATCAGGTAGCTGACCGTCCAGGGCAGGCAAACCTTTCGAAACTGACAGCTGCGAATAATTCACATCTAGGCACTAGCAGTAGTCCCATCCGGTCTAATGATCTATCACCACAGAACTGCACAGGTTGAGCAATCTCTGAACTACAGTCTGAGGTAATTTTCAATGGGAAAATGGCCCTGGCTGGGACAGTTGGTCAGTCTAGTCTCTTATTTAATTTAGTGTTCACTAAAAACTCGATCCATGCCTTATTAGCCCGGCGACTCTCTGTAGCTGCTGCCAGTGGTGCCAGTGGTAACATGATCAGCGAAAGCGACTTCAGGGAAAACGACAGACATCAGGACAGGCATTCAGGTATATGGACTCAAGGACTCATCATTTCAGAAAAAAGTGTTGTAGCGACAAAATATGCGCCTTGCACATCCCATGGAGGGAGAGCAATGCCGTAAATGCTACATTAATTCAGAATGACTTGAATATGAAGAAAAATGTATCAAAGGATACATTTTTTAAACACATCACACCAAAGGACCGCATCTAACAGACGGTTGGCATCATGTATGTACGCCTAGTATCGAATAAAGAAATGAGCAGTTCGCTGGCACACAGCGCACCCACCTTTGAGGTGAGGGTCACCGTTGAATGCGCCGCACCCCCAGTTGCCAGTGGCGACGGGAGGCAGCGGGCCACCCCCGGCCCAAGAGAAGCCCACGTACGCCTTGTTCAGCTCGCGCAGCAGGAAGTGCTTCATGTACTGCCGCTGGGGCTGAAACATCCGCAGGCATCGGACGAACATCAAATTTATAGATTTTACTAGAATGCTATGCTTACTCCACTCCAAATAAGCTCCACTAGCTGAACGAAAAAGAGGTTCAGTGTACATGTGATAAAAATGTTTCCAAACTCCAGCCAGGACGAAGGGTTCTGCCCACTTATCAGCTACCACACACCGGCAAACAATGCCACCTGCTCCTTCGCATATCTAGACATCAACTAACACCAAGATGTAGTTAGAAAAAATTCACTTTCAGTAGGATAACGACCGATATATTACGGATTTACATATAGCACTGTTACCATCGCAATTCATTTCGAGGAGCCTACAGAGGGCGCTGGACGGAGCGACAACAGAGCTCGGCAGCCAGAGTTGAAATGAGTTCCAGCGGCAGCCGCAGCCTTGGTACACTTTGGTAATACAACGGTCCACCTCGGTGAAGTACACGGAATCCCAAATATCCCGGTAAACTGTACGGTGTCCCACCCACCTGTGTAAAGTTTACGATGTCCCAACAAGCAAATTAGAATAGGTGCACGGCGTACCACTCACCACAGTGAAGTGTACAGCGTCCCACCCACCTGTGTAAAATGAACGGCGTTCCCCCGGATTAGAAACATGCGCTTCACTCACCTATGTAAAGTGTACGGCGTCCCACCCATCTGGGTTAGGTGAACCACCTGTGTGAAGTGCACGGCGTCCCACCCACCTGTGTGAAGTGCACGGCGTCCAGCGCCACCACCTGAGTGCTCCTCCGTCCGAACTCATCCAGCGAACTCGGGTCGGTGGCCTTGGCCGTCCACTTGAAGGTGTCGGCATAGCCCTCGAACTGGCTGAACCTCTCGCAGCCGGTGACCACCAGACACTCGGTGGCGTCTAGCACCTGGTGACGGCAGTGGGATTCGATCAGAGGCAACAGCGCAGTTCGTTTTTATCACAATGCATCGATATACATAGGGTCTCACGCGGGCACTTCTTATAACAATTGTTATCTAAATCACGGAAAACGGTATGCATGCAAGGCATTTACACCTCAACAAATCTTTGGCGTGCCTAACCAAAAAGGCTTTGGTAAAGGTTGGAAGCGTGGGATTCTCAACGAGATCCGGAACAGCCCTTCTTCTCCTTGTCTGCCTAACCATTCGTCACACTGTTTGAGTGACGTGGACTGTATAAGGGAAATCGTTTGTATCTTGGTACGAGGAACGCTCGCCTCTCGCCACCGACCGGGGCCGTCCCATAGACCATCCGGTGTTGTTACAGCCCTGACAGACTTCCGTTGGGCGGGCCGATGCGGTGGAGAGGCGGCCAACCCTCTCCAGTGACTGGATCTCAGCTGATGTAAATCTACTGCGACCTCCCGGTTATTCCAGAGGTGGAATTTCCCAGCCTCATGCCAGCCCTTTGGCCTCTCCGCTGTCCAAGTGAGCATGCATAGCATACATGCGGGCAAGACATCTAAGTTTTATTTAGGACCTTCGGCTTCTTCAAATCGTCTCCGAAACTGATTCATTAATTGATTCATGATTTCAGGGCATACGGATTTCCGAAGTTATCGAAGCCCATAATTCAGCGTCTCCGAAATTCAGCCACCGGCCAACAAAACATCAATTATCACACAGCAATATTAAAAAGATTATTTTCCTGAGAAACGTACCTATCGGCTATCAAATGCTTAAACGAGGCCTAAGTAGATCTGAAAAAGTTCGAGCTTTCATACACGACAGTACTGACCTCGGTGAACAGTCGAGCGACGATCAGCTCCGGGTTAATGAGGAATCGGATCTCCTCCTGAACGCAGCCGTCGCCCAGCACTCCGCCGCCCACAAACTTGTTGGCAAAGTCCACCTATAACAATCAAAACATACCTATAATCAAAACATCCATGATAGTTATACGCTACATAACAAAACAAGTTAGACAGCATGACGTCACCACTGCTCTCAAATCTGATTCCAAAACGCACATATGAAAATTATCGGGAATAATTCACATGTTAAAATAAGGCGACGTTCGAGTTTCTCAAGTTCAGTTTTTGCCGTTTTTGCTCGTTTTGCTCGTTAAAACGCGTGCTTTTTCGAAAAACATACTTGGAGCCAGAGTCCTTTTGAAAAAAAACGAACTATAGTCATTAGGGAGAAGCGAAATTCCACACGAAGTGATTATATTAGTCAACAAAATGCCCGAATACTGTTTAGAGGGACATCAGCATGATTCGTAAAGACAAACGTTGTCGTTATTGATGAATGACGACGTTGATACACGAAATCATTTCGCTTTCTCCCTAATAAGTAAAGAGAGCAAAATGACTTATCTTCGGAGAATATCTTATCATACACCCTTCAGAAAAAAAATCCCAGTAACCCCATTCATAATCGTACCGGATGGGTGCTTTCAAAATGCCATGCCAACTGACGATGCCTCTTCGTCAGCGTAAAACAGAACAGGGATCCAGATGGCAGCACTATTACGGCCGCGGTTGCGGCTGTGACCTGACCTGCAGCGAGCCGAGCTGGTCCTCGATGAGGCCCTCGCTGTGGCAGCTGAGCGCCGGCAGACGCGCCTCGGACGCCGACCAGTCCGGCAGCTCGGCCGGCGACAGGAAGCGCCGACTGAACGTCAGCACGCCCGTCGGCTCGCGCCGCAGCACGCGGTGGAAGTAGTGCAGCAGGCACTTGAGCTTCTCGACGCGGCGCTGCGACAGTCCGGCCGTCCCCGACCGGCGTCCGCCGCTCCAGCAGAACAGACGGTTAAAGTTGATGTCAGGATAGTTGCTGTACGGGAAGAGAGAGATCGCTTGTCAATACAAGTCATTTTACACCTCATGAGTATCACCACTTTACTGATGTAGCGATGAAATGCGACACAATGGAGCCTAGGACTCATTTTTACCTTACTCCTGTATCCGATGAGCAGCAACACACACACAGCTGCATGGGATCAGGCAAACTCTTTCAATACCGATACAGAGAGGCATGTGGTCCCGGTCTCCCTCACCTGTACTCGGCCGGCCGCTGACCGCGCCGGGCAGAGTTTCGGCGCGGGAACGTGCAGAGGAAGGCGTTGGCGAGCAGCGAGGCCACCTGGAGCTGCGACAGTGAGACCGAGTGGCTGCGGTGGCGGGCGAGCAGCGGCAGCGGCGCCGGCAGCAGCTCTGGCAGCCGCAGCGCCAGCCGGCACAGCTGCGGCACGGTCACCGTGAACAGGTGATGGCGCTCCTCGTCGGCCAGCACCTGCCGGCGTCCCACCGAGTCCGTCAGACAGGAGCATTTGTTTACCTCATCGTATGTATGCGCATCGCACATAAATCGATTTCAGTTCACTGGTGGTCCGAGTGCAGAATGTCGACACATCAGCTGTACCCAGTACCCACCTCATCAATGAAGTACCGCAGCCCGGAAAAATCCCACTTGTCCTTGTAGCGAGAGTTGTAAGACTTGATGGCGTCCTCGAGGGCGGCTGAGCTGTCTATATTACGTTGGAGGGCTTCCTGCAACCACAAAAAAATGAGAATGATAAAAACTCGTCTAAAAGCTTAAAAACCTAAAATATTTATCGAATGTGAACGTACTTAAGCACGAACTATCACACATCATATCTTTCAACAAAAAAGTTTGACGAAAATAATTATTGTTAAGTGTTAACCCGCGCCGTGCTGGTGGCCTGAACTTTCCACCGAGTGCTGGGGGGGGGCTTTTGACGCCCCCCTTCTAACTCGGCTCCTGGGCCACGTAGCGACACGCGGTCAGCGGCAATCGAAAGAGCGTCAAAAATAAGGAAGAAGACACTTCAGTCAATTTTTAGGTATGGCCAAAGGTCAGGTCACCAGAGGTCACCAAAGGCCACCAAGGCCTTTGGTGACCTCTGGAAACGGGTCACCAAGGAACGAAATAGCGCGGGGGTGGCACCCCCCCCCCCCCATGGGTGGAGAATGTTTGAAAAAGTTACCCCGGCCGGCGACCAATAGTCGGAAAGACGATATGCTCACATTGTTGTCAACGGTCATCATAAGCAAACCCCTTACGCAGCCTTCCTCAATGTTGGGCAGCTCAACCTCCTATAAAACAAACAGGGAGTCGATCCAGGAATATCGACCGGTCCCGGTCTCGCAGCTCAGTCGGTAGAGCGTTGGACTCCGCGTGGCAAGAGTACGCGTCCCGGTTACAACAGTCCGATTTCGAGGCGTGCAACGGACGCTCGGTGTTAATGAGCATCCTGACGAGTACGCTATTATAAACAGGTATGGTTGCGGTCTTTGGCACTGGCAGGCCAGTCGAAGGCAGCGAGGTCAAGCATTGTTTCAGAAAAAGTGCGCCGAAAACGCGCCAAATTTTCGAAACTGAACCCGATTTGAGAGCAGTCTTGGCATTGGCGACCACACGCGGGTCCTGGGGTTGGAGATTATGGTATGTCAAGCGAATAGTTAGTTACCTGATTTGCATTATTACGCCCATGGCAGTGAACATTTGAAGAACGAGTTTTCTTTTCTCGTTTGGAGACAGCTTCTAGGATTTACAAGAGAGGAAAAGTTACCCCGGCCGCGCCGGGGTAGCCTGAAAGTTACCCCGGCCACGGCCGGGGTGGCCGGGGCAGGTTCTCCACCCATGCCCCCCCCCCCATGTGCGTTCTAGGATGGGAAAATGGCATGTGCGGGCGAGGGCTAGAGAGCAAAAACTGTAAAAATAGCCGTTTTCACCAACAACAGTTTTTCGGTAATAACTTGATTCAAGCAAGTCACGACATTACTTTTGCCAGCATCGTGTTCCTCTCGTCGAGACGCGTCGAAATAACTATTCGCTGACCTTGAAAGGTCATTTTGAATATTTGACCTCAGGTCAAGGTCATGGGCTGACCAGAAAGGGTCATGTTGCATATCGGTCGATCCGTATCGTCGAGCTGAAAACATCTGACGTGTTTTCATCGCTCTAGCACGCCTCTATCAAAAGTTATAACCAAAAACTGCCAGCGACCGTTCATGACCTGATATGACCTCAGGGGCACACAGAGGGGTCACAGGTGCATTTTTCCGATTCAGTGTGGCATGTTTACGTGTCAACCGATGTTTGAGAGCGTTTTGAACATCATTCGTCCAAAAGAGGCGCATTTCATTTTTTCCCATTGATTTACAATTGAGAGGTCGCAAAACTGACCTGAACTTAGGTCACATACATCAAAAATCCATTCCAAGATATATATTTTATACATACTGTTGCTCATATCAATCGCTGAAAGTTTCAGAGTGATCGTTCAGTCGGTGTAGCTCTAGCTATAGCGAGCCTTTGAACTTTTTTCTGAGGTGAGGTCACTTGACGTGACCTGGGCCTCGTTTCATAAAGCGAGTCCGTAACTTACGCCGGTTTTTGGTCTTGTATTGCAAGTGCATGTGAAGCGATGACGATAGTTTGAATCGTTGAATTTATTTATTCATCTTGCAAGCAAAAACAGAAGGGAGAAGCGAAAATAAATTTATCGCTTCACATGCGCTTGCAATACAAGCCCAAAAACCGGCGTAAGTTACGGACTCGCTTTATGAAACGAGGTCCCGGTGACCTGACCTTGAACGACCCGGGTCTGAAAGTTTCACATGTGCGGAAGTGATGTATGAACAGGGGCCGTATTCACGTCGACTTCGTAAGTCGCTTTTCCTTCGTAAGTATGATTTGGTATTCATGTCGATACTTCTAAGTTTTTTATCGACGGAGTTCACGTGGATAAAAAAATTACTTAAGAAGTAGGTCAAACTTACGAAAATTCTTACGAAAATGATCGACGTGAATACGGTCCCAGGTGTACCAAAAAATGACCCATTTTTTAGATATTCGCGAAAAACCTGAGGGGGGGGGGGGGCGTAAAAACGCCCCCCAGCACAACTGTCAAAAGCAAATGTTGAATTTATTATCAAAGTTGAGACTTTCAACTCACCCATGACTTGCGTCACCATGCCAAGCATAAACTTCACGCCGTTACCGCATTACACCAGACACCAGTCCCAACGACGACCCATCCGCACGTGGATGGGCGCAGGGACGGTTTTTTCCAGCCCACCCACCGACTGGAGGATACGTCACCGACCCAGAGGGGCGAGCCGGCTGAGCTGGCACCCTCCCTCACTTCCAGACCACCCAGATCGGCTGACGGCTCACATAATACTCGTTCGTTTTGCTTTGAATGCCCACTACCCAGACGAAACGCCCACTCTCAGCAGTCCATTCAGGCCCGAGTTTTTTCTCGGAGAATGTTTGCGTCAAAGTAATCAACAGAGTCTCGATATGCATATCAATCAAGGTTACCCCGGGATCACAAGGGCAGCGCTGTGATGGAAAACACACCACTGGCCTTCAAAATGTACTCGGTAAATACAGCCTTTTTAGCCAGCTTTGTTTTTACCATAGAGGGTTGAGCAGTGTATGTTATTGTGTCAAAGGGAGATAATGACCTTTTTCCACAAAATCTGAGTTAGGACCATTTTCTGACAAAACACAACAAGTTATAATGTAAATTAAAACCATTTTGCTCAATTCGGTACCTTGCCGCAAATATCTCAACTTGAAGTCACGTTAGCGGGGAGCGCTGAAAATGACCGTTGAATAAGTACTTACATCACTTTTTGGTACTTGCATGTAATTTTGTAAAATGAGCGTATTCCTTACATCTGATCTTCATCACATCTAGTTAGTTAATGGTCGTCTATAGTGCCTTCAAAAGATATTCATGGTTTGGGGGTGGTTTATGTCTAAATTTACGCAACTATTTTTCCTGTTCATCATCTGACGCCATATGCTGCTATTTTAGTAGCAACGACTCAATTTTGAATCGGACCCGCCGACTGCACAATAAAAGAAGATAGATACAACACTTTTGCGGCATCACTGAAAAACTTATGCAGTACTGTTATCAAAATTCTCATAACACCGTTCGACAAACCTGAAGTCTTTTTGAAATAAATATGCTTGTATTTTTCGCTTCAGGCTCTGACGCCAAAATAATGAATTTCGTAGTCGCAATCGCAAGATTTGGCTGCGTTTCTGGCGCATGCCGTTCATTTGTGGCGCAAAATAATACTTGGAAACAAAGAAGAGTAGGCACTATGTACCCCCGAATTAGAATCTAATTAATTCTAAACCGAATTAACTCTAATTCAAATTAGAATCCTTACAACCAAGCAACGACAAGGCGATAACATAAACAAAAACCCAAGCGTCGCTGTTTGAAACAAAAGCGCCATATACTGCGACTTTTTTATAGAGAAGGACAGCGCATTTCGGTGGGTGTTACAAGTACTGCAAGTACTGCTTCTTTTTTGCAAAAATAAAAACCTTTTTCACATACGAAAATGTGCTAGGAAATTTTCATATTTTATAGAAACTACAGTAGAAATAGTATAGATGTCGAGTAATTTTTATTTAAGAAAAAAGAAAGCTCATTATCTCCCTTCAAGGCGATGGAGCTGGTTGCCAACGCTTATTTTTTTATAATCTCCACACAGAGTGGACATTTAAAACAGCGTTTTAATCCGCGCCGTGTTGGGGGGTTGGAGCGGGACGTTTTTACGTCCCCCCCCCCCACCCTCAGTTTATTTTCCGCGAATAGCGCTGCCGTTTTCGGTACACCTGTTTATAATCTTTCCACCACATTTTGTGAAAATTTCAGACCCGGGTCGTTCAAGGTCAGGTCACCAGGGCACGTCAAGTGACCTTATCTTAGAAAAAGTTCAAAGGCTCGCTATAGCTACACCGAATGAACGATCACCTTCAAACGTTCAGCGATTGATAAGAGTAAGGGTATGAATAAAATGTATATCTCGGATTTTTGTATCTGTGACCTAAGGTCAGGTAAATTTTGCGACCTCTCCATTACAAGTCAATGGGAGAAAATTGAAACGCGCATTTTTTGGACGAATATCATTCAAAACCCTCTCAAGCATCGGTTTATAGGTAAACATGACACACTGAATTGGAAAAATGCACCTGTGTCCCCTATGTGTGCCCCTTATGTCATCTCAGGTCATGAACGGTCACCAGCAGTTTTTTTTGCTATAACTTTTGATAGAGACGTGTTAGAGCGGTGAAAACGCGTCAGATGTGTTCAGTTCGACGATACGGATCGGCTGTTATGCAACATGACCCTTTCCGGTCAGGTCATGACCGCAGACCGACCTTGTCCTGAGGTCAAATTTTAAAATGACCTTTCAAGGTCATCGTATAGTTCATTCGACGCGTCTCGACGAGAGGAACACGATGCTGCTAAAAGTAATGTCGTGGCTCTCTTGAGCCAAAAGTTATTACCGATTTTTTTTTGTTAAAACGGCCATTTTGGAATTTTTGCCCTCTAGAGGCTAAACCGTTGACCTGAGGTCAAATCTGAGAGCATTATTCAGAAAGGTCTGTGAAAGGGCTATCGAAGTCGCTTTTCCGCGGCGGTGTAGCTCTATTGGTTCCCGAGATAGCCGTTGGTAGTTTCCAAATTATTGAAATGGACTTAATTTGAACTTTGATGACCTCTGGTGACCTGATCTTTGACCTGACCTAAAAAATGACCGAACTGTTTCCGTCATTATCTTTGACGCTCTTTCGATTTCCACTTACCGCGTGTCGCTACGTGACCCAGGAGCCGAATTAGAAGGGGGACGTTGAAATCCCCCCCCCCCCCCCTCCAGCACGACACGGAAAACACGGGCCACCAGCACGGCGCGGGTTAATGGCCTGGACCACATTCATTAAAAAATAATTCACAATGCGTGTACGTGAAACCGTGCTTGGGCCGATCTATGCTGTAACGCGTTACGCTCCTCTCAGAGCGCGTCTGCGGCCGACTGTAGTCCGGTCAGTTTCAGACCACAGGTACAGTGCAGTTCGCTATGGACACACCTCAGCGTGTCCTCACCAGAGGCCAGACTGGGAAAAAATACACGTTATGCCGAATTCAGCTCATGGCGGCAAACGAATTTTTCGGCGCAGGGCGGCCGAATTTTTCGGCACGCTGGTCAATCCAGCAGCAGATTCGCCCTGCGGGCGGCTCTGGAGAGGTTTCGGGACGAGACGTCCACGCCCCGGTCGCGTATTCGCCAATTGTATTACACGAATCGGCCAACCAATAGCTTGCCTCCTGAGTGACGTCAACGTGGCGTCATACTTTCGGTCCTCGCCCTGGTGGCGTCTATTGAAGCTAGGTTTTAAGTTATTGACATTTGAGCTACATGGCGTACATTATCGCCGTGGCGAAGTGGTTAGAGTATCGGACTGGTGATTCAGAGGTAGGTGGTTCGAATCCACTCGGCGACTTCGATTTTCGTGTCATCTGTCATTGTGCGTTTTTTATACATTTGTAACGGCGTGCACCTAAGAAATCAGACGTAGGCATTCTTCTAATGAATATGTTGCATAAGATAGATATTTGCAGTCCAACCGATTGGTTCGGTTTCGGTATTTTCCAATGGTCTTTGTTTGTATTTGGTTTGGTAGCGGTGTTCTGATTTTCTGTGATTGACATCACTAATGCATAGTGCATACTATGCGAACGTAGCCAATGGAAAGACAAATGGTGCTGGGCGATGGCCATTCATTGATCAATATTTCTCACTGCCAATGGGTGATAGCACGCAGCATTGACAGGGGCGGCGCTGACCTTTTGAAAGTAGGTGGGCACTTGGCAAGGTAAAGTACCTAAAAGTAGCGAAACCTAAGATGAAAAGTAAAAATAGCACGCTGGTAAGCAGGCTATTAGATAGCTTTTCGTGTAAGAATCACCATGCACAAAAAAGTTCGGCATAGCTGTTAGCGTAATCACGGGACGAGATAATCAGTTTCCGGCCGTCAGAGCGTCATCTATAGGAGCTATGCCCTAACTATAACTTTTACATTTCAGCCGCCAGGGGGATACCTAAGTCCTCTTACTTGGAATCTAGTTAAAGTCAAAAGATTTATATTAGACGTTTATGAAGATAACTTGGGACTGGTTGTTAAGTTGCATGCTCACGGCGGGCTGTGATCAATTTATCTCTAGACATGTCTTATCTGATCGATGAAATAATACAGGAATCCGTTGTCATTCGAGTGTGTTTCATAATAGCTCTTCCGACTTTGACGAATATCGACAGTGCCGTAACAAAATTGGTAGTTCAGGTATAGACTGCAACTGCAGTTCTTTTGCAGCTTATTCCTTAATCAGATGAACACTTGTCAGAGATTTATTGGGCGTACGTTATTGGCGTGCGAACGTAGGGGCCAAAAATGCGCGTCTACGACCGACTTCTTTTTAAGAGAAAAGAACCGCTGAAGCAAGAATCGATCCACCGACCTGTCGTCCATCACACCGAGACTCTAACCACTAGCCATATACAATGCAAAAATAGTCTCAACTCAAATCTAGCCTCAATGCATGCATTGTCGCGGCGGATGGCTATGACGTCGCACTAGAGATGTCGCTAGTTGATGGGCCGATTCGTGTAATACAATTGGCGAATACGCGCCCCGGTCGTGGCGTCCTCGAACTGGCGAGCCGCCCTGGATCTACTCAGCAGTGTTCGCCACGGGCCCCAAAATCCCCAGCCCAGCCCGGCCCGGGCCCATGGGTTCAGAGCCCGGCCCAGCCCGTAGCCCGCTCTTGGCAAATATTCCAAGCCCAGCCCGGCCCGGCCCGTCAAAAATAGCAATCTAGTTATTGTCTTAGTCTATGGCTATAATAAGCATGATTGATTACACTATTTTGAGAACAATTCAAATTGCATGAATATTAACATGGCAATCATGACTCCCTTCTTTTCAATGAATATAATCATTTCAAGCACCTATGGCACAAATTTTAACAGTAACAGCAAGCACCTCAGTCAATTAGGTCATGATTACACACCTATAAAAAGTTTACATGATTATATTAACTACATTCTATGAGTAAAGTTATCTTGCAAGCTGATGTGTGTGAACATTATCATTAATAATTGGTGACTGTAATGCATACTTGAAGGAAGTATTTGCAACATACTCTATACTTCCCAGCACTTACCAGCAGAAAAAAAGCTTGACTTATGGGAATTGATGAATCTGTCTGGGATTGACCTTGCTGTTAAATTCACTCCATAGATGCTGCAATATCAAAAGCCTGAGAAAGCATACAAAATAGGTGACACTAACTTTAGCACTGTCTTCCAAAAAAAGAGAAAATCTATCCATTTATCAGCAAAACTGATTTAATCTATTTTCAATTCATGCCCACGTGTCAACCGAATCTCTGTGGACAACTATCTGCTACTTTCCTTGCTATTTTATGTTAGGCTCTTTTCAAGATATGGATATCGCTAGCAGCGTAAGCAGAAAACATGGTAAGCTTGAAATGTCATTGGGTACTTTTGCGACTTGTACGCATCATCATCATCAATCGAAAATGAGCGAACACTTCTTGATTGTCGCAGCTGCGGCAGGTAGCGATTCTGACGAATTGTATAATAAAACATATATGATCAAGTTTTTGTTTTGTTTTTCGTTCGAGTTTTCAGACTTCGTGATTTTGGTTTTATTTTTTATTGGTTTAATTTTGTTTTCACCTTGATACTCACTTAAAAAACGTATTTATTTGATATACTGTTGTGTATACTAGCTAGATGCCGCCACATAAACATAGCGCCGCCGCCATGATTGCACATTTTGTTGAGAAGGGGCTGGTTTGTTGTGATTTATTTTGACAAATTTATGGACATTTAAAGAAGCTTTCATCGCGAAATACTCTGTAGAGTTCCTCGTTACTTACAGTGTGTTTTGTGAGTATCCTTTTAAGGTTCTGTTCGTAAAAAAGCCGTCGGTGAAGGAAAAAAGACTGTGTTGGAATTGTCTCACTATCGCCATATATAAGTGTTAACTTAATGTAGCCCTGTAGCCCATCATTGTTGAGTGGCTTCTTAGTTTTTGGAGTTGTAGTGCTAAGTAAGTTGTTCTGATGACTACATTTTAACTTTTATTAACAAACTAATGATGCTAGAGATTCTCTGATCTTTTTGGTTGCGGAATTTTTATGAAAACCCTCCTATGTGTGACATGATGTGATATTGGATAATTCTCAAGATTCCCAAAATTCAATATCAAGTAGGTTTTCTTTCACATTGCTTAAATTTGGTTTAGTTTTTGTATTTTCCCAGTGGGTTTTGTTTGCATCAGTTTCCAAATTTTCTTAAATTGACATTAGTCGCAAAACCCATAGTGCACAAAGTTCTTGGCCCGGCCCGTCCATAGCCCGTTAACTAATGATATTTGGGGGCCCGGCCCAGCCCGTAGCCCAGCCCGGCCCGTGGCCCGTTGGGCTGGCCCGGCCCGTGGCGAACACTGCTACTCAGCGGAGGAGCGGCCGCCCAGGTGAGGCCTCAACCCTCGGCGTGAAGAAGACCTTGTTGAACATCGCGAGCGTCGTTAACCCGCGCCCGGCTGGGGGTCCTGGATTTCCACGCCCTGCTGGGGGGGGGGGGGTGTTTGAACACCCCCCTTCTAACTCGACTCCTGGGCCACGTAGCGGCACACGGAAGGCGGCGTTCGAAAGAGCGTCAAAAATAATGACGAATTCACTTCGGTCACTTTTTTTGGTCAGGTCAAAGGTCAGGTCACCAGAGGTCATTGAAGGCAAAATTTCGCCGATTTCCAGGTCGAATGTCGACAATTTCCAAGAAGCCAACACTGGCCAACGCATAACTCGGGAACCAATAGAGCTACAGCGCTGCGGAAAAGCGCTTTCGATAGCTCTTTTAACGCCCTTTCTGATAAATTCTCTCAGATTTGACCTAACGTCAACAGTTTTACCTACAGGGGGCAAAAACTGCAAAAATAGCCGATTTTTTCGGAAACAGTTTTTCTGCAATAACTTTTGGCCCTGGCCTTGTACGAGCTAACTTTTACCGGCATCGTGTTCCTCTTGTCAAGACGCATCGAATGAACTATAACTTGACCTTGAAAGGTCAACCTGAATATTTGACCTCAGGTCAAGGTCATGATCTGACCTGAAATGGTCATGTTGCATATCAGTCGATCCGTATCGTCGAGCTGAACACATCTAAGGCGTTTTTATCGCTGTAGCATGCCTCTATCAAAAGTTATTTGCGAAAAACTGTTAGATACCATTCGTGACCTGAGATGACCTCGGGGGCATAAACAGGGGTCACGGACACCATTTTCATGTTCAGTGTGTCTAAATTACTTGTAATTCAGTGTTTGGGAGTGTTTATAATGTCTTTCGTCCAAAAGAGGCGCATTTCAATTTTCTCCCATTGACTTATAATGGGGAGATCGCAAAATTGACCTGACCTTAAAGGTCATCGATATCAAAATTCTGAGACATACATTTTGTACATGTTATTGCTCTTAGCAATCGCTGAAAGTTTCAAAGCAATCGGTCACTCGGTGTAGCTATGGCAGACATTGAAAGTTTTTATGAGGTGAGGTCACTTCAAGTGACCTTGGCGACCTGGCGCCGCCGTTGTTGAGATATTCGCGATAAAACCACAGGGGGTGGGGTGTTCAAACACCCCCCCCCCCCAGAAGGGCGCGGGTTAAGTAATACTGCAGTGGGTTCCTGCCCACTGCGGTATCGAGGGAAATGAGAGCGCTGACGACCTGGCGAAACAAGCGGCCGCCCTGCCCTCAAACGCCCGCTCGCTGACCAGGGCGGTTCATTGTGCGGCCTCGCATCAGTGTGGCGCGACAACTGCTCAGAATCACTATTCAAGCCACTCCTCGGGAGCACGCCGCCGCTCCTTATCCCCGGAGAGGAACGAGAGGACACCGTTTCGGTGCACCAGATGAGGGCGGGGCGGGCTACTGGGGCCAGTGCGTGCACCGAATCGGCTGTCTCCACTCCGCGGCGTGCCAGCACTGCCTGCCAGCAGTGCCCTGACAAGCGGTGCCCCGTAGCATTCTGCGCTGTGTGCCGAGAAGAGGCTGACGTGCCGGAGCTCGTGCTGCTCTGCCGCCCCGCCAGTCTCAAACACGCCTCTGCGTCGATTTTTGTGGCCCCGAAACTTCCGGCTCCAGCCTTGTTTCACGGCACGACGCCACAGTGCGCTAAGCGTAGTGAGGTATTGGGTTTCCGTGGAACTTTACTAACTTATTCGGACACCTAAGATGGGAGAGCGTCCAAGGCCCCAGGGCCCAGAATGCTCTGTTTGGTATAGCCTTGATCAAAAGCTGTGCACATACGTGCTTTAAATAAAAATAGACACCCGATTTCGGTGCAATTCATGCAGAAATTTCAGCACAACATCACTTGCACCAAATTTCGGCACAAGAGGGTCTCACGGGCATCCAGTATAGTGTAAGGAATATGGATGTTTTCCAGTCTGGACCAGAGGCTCACCTGTACCATGGACCAGCGCTGGACCAGCTGTGTGCCGCCGTCCCGCTGCCGCGCGGGGTACAGGCTCTTTGGCGAGCATGGCAGGCGCACATGCTGCTCGTCCCAGCGGTCATCAGCCTCTGTTGGTAGCACTGCTCCCTGCAGAGGGACCTTGCACAGCACAGTGTGTGACGGAGAGGGCACTACTGGCTCCCGGCCGCCAGCAGACGCCGGCGCCACAGCAGTGGCCATCTGCAAACAGGGAAACCGGAAGACACCTTTTAACAGACATTGCATATTGCTAAACTGCTCCAACAATAGAAATTATGCTTCATATTTCACCAATTTATTTTGAATGTTTTATAGAAACATTAAGTCTTTACCAAAACTGTCTGCTAAAAAGTAGGTACTTAATATTCTAATGAATTTGATTCTACACCAAATCTTTCATCATATACTTCTCGAGTGAACCATATTTTTAGACACCAACAGATATTTATATTGCTACATCTGCATTACCTACATATGCAGTTGCCTTCACTGAGTCCCAACGAGTGAAAGGTAAAAATAAGTAATGAATTCAGAATTGAATTGGCTAGCTTACTTTTATGATTGTGATGGACTTATTCAAGTCGGTTTGTGAATGAATGATCGCGTTGTTCCAATGATGGTGATGCGATGAGACACCGCACTGGCACCAAACACCACAGGTCGTCAAAAATGGAGTGTGGAGTGAAGAGAGTCCAAAGATATATACCCTGAAAAGTATGCTGGGTTGAGGTGGTGCAAGACAGCACACCCCCTTACGCACATACTCTGCAATACATGGGGCGCGGGGGGGGGGGAATTTACCAAGATTACTTTACTACTCAATTTACGGGGCGGTGATATTCAAGGAGAGACAAAAATACCATATACCCTCTAAAAGGTAAACAAATGACATCATTAGAAAATTTTAATCTGAAGGCGTTTGAAAATTTAATTTCAAACGATTTTTTTACTAATATCTTTTTAGCTTACATAATAGAAATAATATACCCGAACTTGAGTAAAATTAATAAACACGCTATATCTTGAGCAGAGGAAGTCCTCTTTTGCTAGCACTCGATTCTAGCCATTGACGTCATTAAAATTAATATTTTTTGCATTCCACAAGTCCAGTTGAAGCACAAGTTACAAAAGCGGCGTGGTAGTTTGGCGAGGTGGCGTAATGCGTTGGTTGGGGGTTGGGGGCTTCAATTGTGGTTATTTTTGGCAAATATTTGGTATTTATCCGTGTGATGTGTCACATCAGTTTTATAAAAAGTGAAGTTTCGCTTTTGGAATCCTGCGAACTCACCTTGCCGAGGCTGCACCGTGCAGCCTCACTGCAAATGAAATTGCAAACTTGAACTCTTATTGTTATTTAAATTTCAATCGAAGTTGAATTAAATTCAAATAATTCAATCAAGGAATTCCTTGCTGGTTTTCACATTGTATCATAGATAGTATGTTTTTTTTATATAGATTGACCCTCGCCCGTAAACGGTGTTTTGCCACCTTCGCCCATGCGGGGGGGTTGGTGCGACCCCCCCCTGGCGTTTGAAAACGGAGCGTCGTAGAGCTTAGCGGAAAAGACCAACGGATTGCTCTCAACGAGATCTCGCGATTGGTGGTATATTTTTTGGTCCTAGGTCAACATTTGACCTACTTATGACCGGTCAAAGGTCAAATTTTCAGAAAAATCTAACTTTTTCAGATTTCCGCGCCGATTACGGCAAAACGGTAAGAGATATCGACCTGAAACCTTCACTATCGTGATCCTTGATCAATTCTCTATCGTTTGGTGTGTATTTCGATGTCATAACTCTAAAAATGATGCGTTGGGAGCATCGGAAGTCTGCAAGGTCATTTGTGCATTGGGTCACGTCAGGCGTGTGACGTCACTGACCTGACCCTGACCCAAAATGGACTACAAGAAATAACCGACGATGCCTGAAATGGATAGCAAATTCGAATTCAGGGCATCAAAATACCCCGAAAAGGCATAAAAGTGCAAGAAGTCATTACAGGTCAACCGAGGTCACTGACCTGACCTTGACCTTTAGTAACCTTGAAAAGGTCAATGGACATTGTGCCAATGTCAAATCAGCCAGTTATGATTCTAAAACAATCCATCAGTGTGTCAGGTTAGTCGGCGTTTATACCAATGTGAAGCAATCTCCAATTTAGCGTAAATCTGGTCGGAGGTTGTTCCCTTTATGACGTCATAACTCCGTGACCTGACATGACCTTGACAAAAAAATACCAAAAGTTGCGCAAAGGATGCCCCATAGGGTACCTACTGAAAATTTGAGCAGGCTATCTGAAACGGTTCGGCGTGTAGCTAAGAAAAACCTCGGGGGGGGGGGGGGGGGTTGCACCAACCCCCTCCCTACATGGGCGAGGGTTAAACCACTCGTAGGAAGAAAATATTTTAAACGTCTCACCTATCGGCTTGATGTTTAAAATATTTTTCTTCCTACGAGATGGGTTTTATTTTATCCTATACCGCCGATATCTTTCGGGCGTTTAAAGGTAAAAAATACATTTTATTTAAAAAATATGACACATTTCAAATTAGATGTAAAGTACTAGATGTTTCAAAAATTTTTAATGCTCTAGATATTAAACAATTACAAATTAGTTACCTACATTAGGGTGGCACTTAGCAATAGGGTGAATTACAGGGTGTAACGAAATTATCCGGACATCTATTTTTTCGCCATATCTGCTCGCACAGTTTCTCTTTTAATGTCAGAAGCTGGAAAATTGGATGAATGCATACCTCTGGTATCTGCTCTCAACTCAGCAGTGACCTGACCTTGCGAAATGACTCTTGCTCTGAGTAAGAGTCGAGTCGCCGACGGGTTCATTTGAAAGTTTTCGTTTAAGGCAGTGGAGAGAAAGGAGTACAGTCTCTCGTTTCGTAGTAAGGCTACGTGTTGGTGGCATGGTGGCATGAGCCAGAAGCTGGTCTGTCAGCAGCTGGACATCAGCAGCAGCCAGTAGCACATCTGCCTGAGGCGTAATAAGCTGGGACTTGGTGGCAGACTCAGCCCGGCCTCGATCGCAAAAGGCGCCCTTTGCCAAGTGGTGAGGAGAGTTGTCAAGATAGCGACAAGGAAACGGCACCAATTAATCCGCATACTGACTCGAATTCTTACCAAGGTAGATAATAAGAGGTCCCACATCATGATTCACCGTTACCCGCCCTTTAGCTTGGTTTTACTGCCCTTCAAACTGGAAAAGACAATGAAATTGACGGGAAAACAACCAGTCCACCACCTTTGGCTTCAGGCCAGGGCGTGTCCACTGGTCGAAGGAAGACACGAATGAGGTGACCTGGTCGGATGGGAAGCTGTTCGAGCTGCGATACCCGTTGAACCGTCAAATCGGCCATGTGTGGGCTGCCAGGAGCTCGAATGTGCCGGCCGTCGCCGGCGTCAAACATCCGGCCAAAATCCAGACCTGGAGCATGTTCAGCTGCTGTGTAATATTCAAGCTGTTCATGACGACACAGAAAACCACTATCAGTGACGAGTATTACCGGCGCAACATCCTGGCTAGCGATTGGTTGGAGCCACTCAACCAGACGGCACAGGATGGCTCGGTTTCTGAACGTGTACCGATACCTGATTCAAGCCGCGCAGTCTTCATACGGGGCGGCGCACCACCTTCAAGTCCCTAGCAGAATGAGAAGTGATGCCGAGAGGACCTTTTTGTTCTTCTGGGCTAAAGGGCTATGGCTTGGAAATAGTTCCCATGCAATTCCGTCGATATATTATGGACTATTGTCCATCAGGAGATGAATGAGGGGACACCCGCCACCAGCGCCGCCCAACTGCGGGCACAGGTTAGTAAGGCGCTACTCTATATGAAACCCACTGTGCTGGAAAATCCAGTGGCTGAAATGCTCCAAAAATGTGTACCTGCGCTCTTATGAAAGGTGGCTATATAATAATTCAAAAGGGAAAATATCAGAATGTCTTGCTTCTTAATTACAGCGCGAAGAAAGATGTCCGGATAATTTCGTTACACCCTGTAGGCGTGCGGGTAGTTTTCTGGTTCCATTCCCGTAAAAATAATGTGTGCAAAATGATTTTGAAAAATATTGTAGGGGTCGCGAATTGAAGTCAAAGTTGACATTTTTGGAAAAAATCGACTTTTTGGAAACTACTTTAAACCTATTTGAAATGACATATGTGGTCATTAAGCGTCATTTCCGACTTATTTTGACCTTTATTTGTATAACAATTGTTTATCCCATCACTTCCGGCCGATCGTAGCCAGTCCAGGTCAGGCCAAGACAGGTCTAATCTGGGCTGTTTCACCCATGTCAGGCCTGTTTTGGCCTGCGACCGGTGTCTTCTCGCAGTAGAGGTCATATCATCTGATTAGTGTGAGGAGTGACCGGTCTCTCCTGTTCCAAAGGGAGGACGAGCCCCACGGTACTATCGGTTCTTGAGACATGCTCCTTTTCTGTCAATGAGAATGTGAAGAAGTTGGAGTCAGCCTATCGCCGGCGGCCGAAAACAGAGGCGAGAGTGTGCATTGAGCTGCACTGGTTTATTGTGATTTCGGGATGTTCTTCCGTGGGCGCTTCTTCCGACTCTAGTGCCAGTGCCAGCAACAGACTTACCCGGCCGTTGCGGCGCGCACACGGAGGGAACGTCTTTGACGATGGCTACCATGAGAGAGAAACGTCGACTCACACTCCCAAGCGCATGCGGGCGAGCGGACGTCCCCAACAGTGAACTGGCCTCGACCGGGCCAAACTGCCCAACCGTTATGTGTGAAGAACACGTGAGCCTGTTATCAACTGCGGCATGGAACTTAGGATACGACTCCGGCTGAACCGCGAATCCTGAATCGCGAGAAAAGGAGTGTCGACCGATTCTAGGTCCTGGTGATGGGGAGGGGGGAGGAATCGGGGCGGCCAAGCTCCTCGCCGTTCCCAACCTCCCCTCCATCCAAGCACGCTTATTATATAGCTGGCCATGCTTACAGCGCTGGGGGACTAAGAACTGGAGAAGCGGAACTGCGGCCCTTTGCTTCGACGCCACGACAGCAAACAGCATGCTGGTGAACGGTACTTAAGCCCTTATTGAGCAGAAGCTGGATCGGCCCGTCCTCCAGCTGGCCTGCCAGCACCACGTGTAAGAGCTGGTCCTAGAGAGTAGAGAAGGCCTTCTCCACCTGCCCTAGAATCTCGAGCGGCCTCTACATCCGGCTGTTTAAGAGGTTCAAAGGCGGGTGGGAGTTCATACTTCACTGACAGGATCACACCGGTGGCGTTCGCCGTCGACGACGTTCCGGAGTGGGACGAGCTGCTGGTCAGCTTCCATTGCTTCCATCGCTGGACTATGCCTAACTCCGGGAAGACTACCGAAAACTTCTGGAGCTCTGCGTAGTTGTTCTCGGTGGAGTTGTTCCAAGCACGACATCCGTTTCTCCGCTTCAGAGTACTCCACTGAGTTAGGTGGATGGCAAAGACCATCCGCACTGTGGATGCCTTCCTCTTCAGGGAGCGGCTCCGGCTGACGGCGGCCGAGGCCCAGGTCATCAGACGCTGTGCGCTGTCCGTTGCCTGCAAGTTTGCCGCCGCCGCCGCCGCCTGGTTTGGGACTCTACTGCCACTGCGCCGGCTCTGGACCTGATCTTCGTGAACTCGTTCTGCACGTACCCCGACAAGGAGCTGTCGAAGGCGACAGTCCCGCTCTTCGGCCGTCACCTGTAGTACTTGAGCGATCGGCTGGTGACTCTTGAGCATTTAGACCCCGACCCTCGAGCTCAATCAAGACATGGTGCGGGCCATGGACTTGTAGGAGAGGGAGGACGAGGACCCGCCCCATAAGTCCTTAGTGGACACTATGAACGCCGCTCTCGCGACCGAGACGTTGGCGAGCTTCCTCACACCATCGTTCAAAAAGCTCTCAAGGATCCACGACCTGGACGCGGGGCTCATCATCAATGACCAAGGCCACTGGGAGGACAGCAGCCACCAAACCGCAGCTCGTGTAGTCCGGGAGCTGCGGGTGGTGAATGACTTCACCAGGCGCGGTATGGCGCTGATGTAGGACTGGCACTCATGAAAGACAAAGATTAGCGCCAGCTCTTCCTCCATGTCGTTGAAAAGATCACAGGAAACGCTAACCTGGCACCCGAAGATCGACTGCAATTGCTAACCTGACTACACACAAAGTGATCTGGGTGACTGTTGTCCATGATACCCCTCCCTCCAATGAGGCGCCAATAATCTATCTACTAAAGAGGAGGAACTGGAGTAGTGGAGTACATAGACCAGCGTTCTGGTGTGACCGAAGCTGCATGAAATATCAACAAAAAATATGAAAATGACTAAGAAATACCTTATTATCATCCGATTACAGCGTAATAGGAAAATCAGAAACGATTTTTAATGATAATGAAATCTGCTACTAAAATCTCAATTTTGACATTGATTCGCGACCTCTAAACATCAATATTTGGTTTGGTTTAATTAGAAAGCGTCTCTGGGTATAGTGCCTTTAAATGGTTGCAAAAAAGTGGTTGCAAAAATGTGGTTGCAAAATGGTTGCAAAAAGACCATCCCCAATCAAATCCTAATAAGACTAATTGAAACAGACTCTTTCCGCAGTCAGGAAATCGCATGCGAGAGCCTATTCAAATACATGGAAGCACGCTCGCATCAATCGCACGCACCTCCCGGATGCGATTGATGCGGGAAGAATTATAATGTATTTGAATAGGCTCTCGCATGCGATTTCCTGAACGCGGAAAGAGTCTGTTTCAGGCATAAGCGAACCCTACCAGGTAAGAATATCAGGTAAGAATACCTGCCTAACGAGTTACGACTACCGCCCCAAAATACCTACCCAAGAAGACCTATCAGTGTAACTGAGATTGTAACTGCCATATGCCATTTAGATGTCTTAGCTATATGTGTTATGTTACCCATGAACTGTGCATTTTCAGGTAAACCGAGCAATATTGGAATGGTGAGGCTGCCACACAGCTAAAATACAACATGACATCATTCAAATCAAGGTGAGATATTGTAGCAAGGTTTAGTGTAAACATAGGCTGTGACCTTCTAGAAATTCAACCGTTGGGAGCTTCTAAAACAGACCCCTCTTTTTTTTGCGAATAACTCGCGCAAACAGTGGCCAATTACGACAATTCTTTCATCACCTCGAGTTGGCCAAGTTTACACCTACCCTGCAAATTGCATGCCGTGGCCCAAATGACCTTTGACCTCTGACCTGTTTCTAGAGACGTATATTTGGCCGGAATCGCGATTGGGCGTATGTCGGCTCACATTATCCGCGTGCTTGCAGTTTTTTTGTGGTTTCATGTGAAATGATGTTGGCCGGATGCATTATGGCGGGTTTGATGGGGTCTGCGCCCTGATGGGGTCTGCCGAGCAACGCGCCCTGATGGGGGAACGGGTCATTTTGCCCCCCCTCCCCCTAAGATCTCGAGAACCACACAACATAGCGACAAGCAGCAAACGGCGTTGAATAGCACCAACAGGGAACTACCTTGTGACCCAATTTCATTGACCTCTGTCTAACCGATGACGTCACAGGTCAGGTCAAATGTCTGCCTTTCACCGTTTACAGGCATTTCAAGAAATGCGTTGTAAAATCGAGTAAAATGCATGTCATTGAAAATCATCGATGATGATTGCCCATAAAACACATATTTTGCTATTTGAGGTCACTGATACCAGGTCAGGTCACAGAGGTCAGGTAACTGAGGGTCAAAATATAAAAAAAATCATGTGCGTGTTTTTTGGTCCATTTTACATGACAAATGCGATTATGTGGGTCATGCAGCCTTTGGGGCCAGTTAAGGTTATATTCTGGTGAAGGTCAGGTCAAGGTCAGGTCAGAAAAGGTCAAATTTCAAAGTTGATATTTTTTGCATACAATGGGTATCGATCGATTCGATGCAGCTCGTCACGTGGAGTCTAATAGTGGTCTTTGTTTTGCGCTACCTGGTCTGAATTGAACAGTTTTTTTTGCTATAATTTGCCAAAAAAGGAGGTATCGATCTAAAAAAAATTGTGTGTAGGTAGAAGATGGTAGGGGCTATCATTCATGTTCTGTTTCTTTTTCAAAATTCGAAAAAGTTTGGGATTTTTTGCTATTTATTAAAACAACTCAGTTTTTTATTATTGGAGGTCAAAATTACAAAGTTAAGAAAATACGAGATAACAGTTTTGTAGCGCCGTCATTTCTCTACACGACCATATAAAGAACTTTGAAATTGCTTGTTAACTGTAGCTTTTGTCAGCGTTTCAAAACTTCATGTTTTTTGCCCATCTTTGCTCGAACATGACCTCAGTTTGACCTCTATGACTCCTGACCTAAGATGACCTATGACTTGAAATTTTGTACGGAGGTGTCAAATTGATGTTTCAAAAGGGTGCTGAAAATTTGGCGGCGCGCAGCGCCGCCGTTTTTTCGCGATATTTTCGCGTAATTTCGAGCGCAGTATCGTCGATCAAGCAAGTGCAGTGCATGACGTAGAGCCATGCAGCGTTAACTCCGACTCCGGAGTCGGTGTAGGTAAGATTTTGGCGACTCCGACTCCGACTCAGGGCAGAACTGTCGACTCCGACCGACTCAAACTCCGACTCCGACACCGACGACGAGAAGGGACGAGAAGGTGGATAAACGCTCCCGGTCGGTGCGCGGGTTAAGACAATATTTATTGACATTTTGAAGAAAAAAGCCCATGGTGTGCGGTCCTGTCAAACATGTAACATATTGCTGGATTCTTTTGCCAGGCTGAAAGAGCTGGATTGGATGCTGGAAAGTGATATGATATGCTTGAAATCACTTCGAAAATTTTGTTTTCAAGGTAAGTCAATGATTTGCTTTTTATCATTCGAAACTATTATTTGTTTTCGAATACTCTAAATGCGCAAACCTACATGCGCGCACACACATTTGCCTAGCGAAGAAGGTCATAGATTTCCATGGGCGTAGGAACCTCACAAAAAGTAGGGGGCCAGCGAAACTTCAATATCACTTTGTGGGAGCCCCAATACCCCTATGAAGAAATTCTTTGCAATTTCGTGCTCATCTGACCTTGCGGAACCATTCCCTGCTCTTAGTTTTGTATTTAAATCAAAATAAAGATTTTCCTTTCAAAATGGCTGAAAAGTTGGGCACCATGCCCCTTTCCGACCCCCCACCCCCCACACACCCCGTTTCTACGCCTATGGATTATGCGTATTGTCATTGATTTATTCGTAAACAAATTATATCATGAAGCACACATGAAAGAGTGGAGGTCTCGTGAGTTATGAAGCTCCTATTACTAAACTTCTTTTACCAGCTCATTTTCTGCATGCCAGCTATGTTCCATCTGAAAAGTTTCATCTGGTTTGTGACAGTGAAAAGAGAGTTGTTTCGTCAAGTAAACTCTGCATGAATGATTCTTCAATGACTTTGAAGTTTGAACCGTCGAAATTTGTAGGATGTATAATCACTATAGGTATTTGGCCGACTGACAATGTAATGTTTGCAGGTATTCCTGTGGAAAACGGTCGGCGAGCTCTGTGCTGGAAGCTGCTGCTGAACTACCTGCCGCCCAGCCGGTTGGCCTGGGATGAGGCGCTGGACGGACAGCGCTGCGCCTACCGCCGCTTCGTCCGTGAGTAGCGTTGCAATGTGCTCCGCAGTCTTTTGGGGCTGCCCGGACTTTTAAAGCGACCATCTCACTTGTCACAACTTTCTCTATGGAATGCGTTTCTTGAATTTGTTCGTTGTCGTGCGATGTTTCCTGAAGTTAAAGGGACCCTCCCACCTTCAAAAAAGTTAATGAATTGGCATGAAAGTGATGTCGCTCGGTACAGAAAGAGCAAAAATGAATATCTACCAAATTTCATCGAAAAATATTCACCGGTTTTCAAGATATTAGACTTTTACTTTTGTTTACTTTTTGGGATCTCCGCTGTTCCTAGCGACTTTATTTGAAAGTGCGGCATTTGTTGCGCGCAAAGCAGCATATACCACCGCGTGCTGCCAAACGTTTTAGTAAAAGATTTAAAAATCGTTAGATCTCCGCTGACGTCACAAATTCTAAGGGGGCATACCAATGCATTAGCCCCTTAGAATCCGAAAACTGCAAGTTTGAAATTCCATATCTCCGAATTAAAGCATTTTTCGATGTTGTGAATGCCCAAACCGGTATTTTCAGGCCATGGCCACCAATTTGGCTATCTCAACTCAAAACTAATGTTAAGGTGGGAGGGTCCCTTTAAGTGGATGTGCGATCATATTACCTGATACAGATGATGCTCGTTACAATCTTGTCCACATGTTAGACAAATTTAAACGTGTTGCGCACCTCCGTACTTGACAACTGAAACGTGCTGAAGCATTTTGCTGGACTGATAATGCCGAAATTTCGCCCAGTGTAGCTTCGGATATCGGCCTTGAAATGGTCAACTTTTGGGTGGTTCTAACGAACTTTTTTTAACTTAGCTTGCATATTTCAATGGGCGAATAGACAGATACGGTCCGGTATCTTCGAAGCAGATGCTTTGATGACACCTCAGTGTTGGTCGACAAAGCTATGGCTGCTATTTTTCGTCAGTATTATTTTGAACTGTATCGAATCTGTTCTTTGATCGGAGTGTGTTCGCTCACGCTGTCATATGTTCAATGTTGTGAAATGTGGCACTCTGTCGTCCGCGTCACGGGTGTCTGTCTGCAGTGGTGAGCCCTGTGAGCAGAAATATGTGAGATCTGTGAACTGAGCCGTGTGAGCTGAGACCCGTGAGCTCTGTGAAGTGAGATCTGTGAGCTGAGATCTATGAGCTGATCACGGCCGTCCGCTGGTCAGGCGAGATGGTGGTGCGTCCCGGTGGCGCCGCCGGCGGGTCCGCGGCGGCCCGTGTCGACGTCACCGAGCACGACCATCCCCTCAGCGACCAGCCCAACTCGCAGTGGCAGACCTTCTTCAAAGACAACGACGTCCTGGGACAGATCGACAAAGACGTCAGGTCGGTGGAGCGACACTTCCACATCTTTCTCTCGGAGGATTTATGTCCACCAAGTAATTCCTAGATGGAAGCCCATGACTGAAAACTCACCGTATTCGTACCTTTTCTGCATTCTGGACGGGCGAGGGGTGCAGAACCGACCCTCTCCTCGTCGCTTTGCTCTTAATTGCGTTCGAGTTTCGTGAACAAGGGTGACTGGTGTCCAGCTTTCCGCACATCGTTCACCTGACGTCGCTGATTGTTTTCTGGCAGGCGTCTGTGTCCGGACATATCGTTTTTCCAGCAGCCCACCGAGTTCCCGTGCCAGGAGGTGGTGTGCGGCGACTACCACGAGCGGCTGCACGAGCGCGTGCAGCGCGTCTACCTGGACTCGGCCAGCGTGTGCCGAGTCGGCCTCGGCATGCAGACGGTCAGTGGACACGGAGACGGCGGTGGCTGCTGGCTCGAAATGGGTCCATGGAACTCATCGGTGGGAATAACGCGTCAGAAAGCGACCCGCAGTGGACGATATGGACATTGCAAACGTTGATAGTCGCCGTTACTGGTTTTCAAACTTCAAATATCGTCCGTTCGGCTTTATCATGCTATTATATGTTAATTAGGTTTGTCTAAAGGCCCCTGCTTTTTTGCGCTTGACTTGTAACTACAAATTCGTTATTGTTTATCATCGATTCAAAGTGTCCATGTTATGTGATATACGCTATGCATTGCTTACAGTTACTCGTGTATGCATGAACAGAGACGTATGCAAAGCTTCATTGAATCTTATTCAACATTACCAATTTAGGGCAGCTCATGACTATGTAGGCTGGTAGCTTGACGGAAAATTATTACATAAACTATTCTCTCAGGAAAATGGCGATAAGTCTCCAGTTCGAGTCTAGGCGGCTCCCCTCGCGTTGTGCTACACTTCAATGCTCCTCCACCCGTCCCGTCCTCAGAAGGTAGACGCCAAGCGGCGCCAGCAGGAGCACGACTACGCGGCGCTGCCCGGCGGCCAGGAGGCCCACTGGGAGGTCGTCGAGCGCATCCTCTTCATCTACGCCAAGCTCAACCCGGGACAGAGCTACGTGCAGGGCATGAACGAAATCGTCGGACCCATCTACTACACGTTTGCCTCGAACCCGGACGCACGCTGGCGAGGTAACGGCTCTCTCTCTCTCTCTCTCTCTCTCGGCTCTGGTTATACTTGTGTAATGTTACGCAATCTTACGCTGTCAATGTTCCGCTGTCACCTGTTCCCGTGTAACTGAGCTCATCCCGTTCCGTGCAGAGCACGCGGAGGCGGACACGTTCGGTGTCTTCACCAACCTGATGTCTGAGATCCGCGACTTCTTCATAAAGACGCTGGACGACTCTCACTCTGGCATCAACTTCCGTCTGCGACTGCTGATGGAGCGGCTGCACCACCACGACCCGCACCTGGCCGTGCGGCTCAAAGTGCAGCAGCTCTACCCGCAGTACTTCGCCTTCCGGTCAGTCAGAGACGCTGCCTACCTGTCAGATCAATGGGGAGGGTCTGTGGGGATGGGGAGGCAAACAGAGACTGCTGGGTGCCCTTCATCAGCACATGTTCCATATTTGAATGGTCCGCAATGGACATGCTGGCTTTACTGATTGCATTCAATAGCTTTTATTCTCGCCGTTTTTTTTTTTTTTTAATACGTTAACGTAGCCAGTGGTTCGCCATTCGACTGTATTATGCGCATTAGTCTGGATCAGTGTCCAAATTTGATGTCAACAATTCATACGACCCGTGGATTAACCCTCGCCGGCCGAGGGGGCGCCGCCCCCCCCCCCCCCCCCATAAGGTTTTTCACGATAGCTCCGAACACGCTGGCGGTCGAGAGCAGAAACTCGGCATAGGTACCTGAGCTTTGCTTCAAGCCGGATTTTTTTTTTACACCAACCGCATTTTCGGGTCAAGTCAGGTCACTGACCTATGACGTCATAAGTGAACATCTGCACGGTCTTTAGATGTCGCAATTTCGCAACGCCCTTAGTGTCAGAGGAGCTTTCAAAGGGAGATGAAACTCACAGGACCTTCCATTAGAGTCTCACAACTCTAATATCTCGGATTTTTCCTAAAGGTCACATGAGGTCTGCTCAGTTTCGTGACCTCATTATTATAAGTCAATGGGGAAAGTCAATTGCCGGTCCCGTAGCTCAGTTGGTTAGAGCGTTGGACTCCGCGTGGTGAGAGCACGCGTTCCCGGTTATGACAGTCCGGGTTCGAAGCGCGACGGGCGCTCGACATTTATGGGCCTCCTGACAGGTATGACTGCGGTTGGTGGCAGGCCGTAGCCAGGTGAAGTCAGCGAGGGGACCGGCCGTGCGCGGCTTTGTGCGCACGTTAAACTTTGGACTCTAAATTCTGCCATAGAATCGGAATTGCGCGATCGGAGGGTAGAGGGCATGGTCATCGCAACAAGCTTCGCTTAGCGGTGGCTCTGTCCTTGTGAATCCTTCCCATCAAAAGGTTCGGACTAAATTTATAAAAAAATGAAAACTGCTATTTTGGCGCCGGGAATAATCTCAAACTATATCAACCACACGGAATCGTGATTTCATACACTCCTTGCAAGTTTTGATGCTTCACTTTTGCATTGTTGACCTTGCGTGACGTCATTAATGACGTCACGAGGGTCATAAGCGTTTTTCGTCAACAACTCCTGACCAAATTAAGTTAGCGAGTCGGGAAAGCCACCAATAGACTCGGGAAGACCGGCCGAATCGAATGATATGCGACATGACCTCCTTCGACCAAGTTCGCGACCTGGGGGGGGGGGGGGGTGGGGGGCTCTGACCTGACCGTGACCTGAGGTCAACACCTCAAGTTAACCTCGTCCAAACAAAAAGTATATCATTCGACGCGCCTGAGCAAGGCGAACACGATGCTGCCAAAATCGCGGCTCTGTGGCCGTTTTTTTTGCGAAGTTATTCACGAAAAAACGGAACCGTTCCTTGACCTCACCTCAGAGGTCACCGGTTGACCAAGGACCTTGAAATCGGGTGCCAATCGCTGCTTCCCGTAACGGCGCACAGCTTGTTTTTTTTCGCGACACTCTAGCTCCATCAGGGGCGAAACGTCGAGGAGGGGGTCGTACCCGTCCCCACCCTCTCGGCCGGCGCGTATGTAGAAAACGAAAACCAATAGGTCCGGTGTGGGATAATTTTTTGAAACATACAAATGAATTCATATATTATTTAATACATTATGGTCGCAGGTGGATGACGCTTCTCCTGTCACAAGAGTTCACCCTGCCCGACGTGATAAGAATCTGGGACTCGCTGTTCGCGGATGAAAAGCGCTTCGACTTTCTGACGGAGGTGTGCTGCGCCATGATGATGTGAGTGCTGGGTGTTTTCCTCTCCAAACAATGCTCAGTGAGTCATGTGCTGCAGGCTTTCAATGGCTACAGTCCTCGAGTCGGCTTGTGAACCTAAATTTGCATTGGGAAATCGTTTAGACCACTTGATTGTTTCGGCTCCTCCACTTTTTTTTTGTTTTTTGGCGGAGGAGCCGTCGTAGCTTCCCATTCTTTTTTCAGTTGTTACGGTAAAAACGGATACAATAAAACGCATTGCTTCGTTTGATAATTTTGCGGGATAGTGGAGGATTTTCTTTTTATGACATGTATGTAGAAAGGTTGGTAGTTGGTACGTTTCCATTTCCCTCTTTACTTTATGTTTTTTTTTTTACCGACAGACAAGTGAGGGAGCAGCTCATGTCCGGTGACTTTGCGCACAACATGAAACTGCTGCAGAACTACCCGCCGATGGAGATTCGCACCGTCCTGGCCAAGGCCGAGTGGCTGCTGTCGCGGTGACACCCCGTGCCCGAGGGGTAGGGGGCCTGGCTGCGGCCGGCTGCTCGTCAAGGAGCTGTGTATGCACCTGTTATTTTCCTGTGTATCGAGGTATCGTGGTGGCGTTTGTTACGAGCGTCGTGAAATGCTGTTGACAAGTCAGCAGAGTATACTTAATATCCTGTGCATGATATTCATCAGTCAGTTTTATATGAATACCAAGATTGTTCATACATGTATGCTCACAAGTGCTTCATATGTATTGCTATAATAATTCGGTACGCTGTGACTGCCATTTAGAGATCGATCACTGACCGTCATATTTTGCTCAAATGCGACGGAATCCGTGAACTAATCAAAATGCAAAACTCTGGAGATGCTATCAGTAGTAATATTTTGCCGATTATAAGACATGTAATGCAACTTATCGGGCTTTGGTTGAAGCAATAGTTACTTGCGTAAAATAAACTGGTCGCGTTGGGCGCTGAATGTCGATTTTGTCGCAGCTACCGCAAACAGTTGGTGGAAGCCACGTTTCATATGACTGTGCGTGGTGAAAAATGCTACCATCGCTTTGCATTCCGCCGCCATTGATATCCACAACTGCTCCGGAGAGCCTCCGTAATGACTGTTTCCCGACGAATAGTGGATCAGCTGGGCATGGCTGCACTCGAAGTGAGGCTGGCGAATCAAAAATTGTCGGTCGTCCTCAACTGTTGACTTGGCTATTCAGTTGTTGGGGATGAATCGACCTCGACGGCGGCCGATGAACCACAGGCCAGTCAATATCAGGTTACTGGCGTTATATCTGGGTTAGCTATCGCTCTGCAGTGCGCACCGGGCCCCGACTGACGCGGGTACTAGCAGAAGCAGAACTGGCCTGAACGGTCGACAAGCAGTGGAATGTCAACAGAACCAGCCGGCTTTGGAGACGGGACGGACGGGACAGTCTTATCGACAAGCATTTTTCATTATGCTTTCACCAGCAGGCAGCCAGGCCGGCGTATAGATGACCAACATGAGAGAAAGGATCGGTATACCAGAGATGTGTTAATTTTGTCGAGGTGTGAGGTATCGCAACTTACAGAGCCGTAGCGGCTTGTGCGACCGCGAGCGAGCAGGATTACCTATCGGCTATTTCCTAAAAGCATGACACCGGGATCGTGGCGCACATGGTCGGATGAAGTGCCTGTCTGTGACTCTGTTTGCCAACGGTTACGGACCTCAGATCAGGCGGTCGTCTTCAAGTTCAAGATTCTTACAGATAGTCGCCTTCGGCCTGTGGGATGCGTACGGTGTGACTGCTAGTTTTGAATATCCTGAGTCTTGGGCCAAGGTTCTGGGCCCAGAATCCCGCCGGGCAAAACCTATACTCGATGTTTTCAGGGCCTCGGCAGTCGGCGACTGGCATTTACGCAGCAGCAGATTTACGTATTTGGATTTACGAATGTGCTGTCGGCCGTCTTCAGTACGCTGTGCATCCTTGCAAGCCGTATTTAGACAAAAGGCACTATTGCATTAATACAAAACTTATTATCTATCTTGCTTTGGGATTATTTATTTTCTAATTGGATTTTGAGTGATTCCAGTAACGGATTCGTAAATGTGAAGCTGCTACCGGTTTGACGAATGCTTCATTGTTGGTTGTGAAAAAGGCGCGCGATACAATTATTGCGCATGAGAGAGCGTGGCGTGTGTGTTATTTGTTATGTGTTTTGCTAGTGCTCTGTGTCATGTGATGTGTGTCTGTGGTTAGTGTTTCTGAGAGAGAAATTAGCATTTAAGTTTGAAAGTGCCAAGAAAAGATGCTATGAAAGGTATCATGTGACGAAGGTGCTTCCTTATTTTTCTCTGAACCTGGCTACGGTGTCGGATTACGGCTCATATCAATATAGATAATAATTGACTGGGCCAGAAATCATCATCTGGTGAGTCTGGGTGAGGTGCATTTTGAGTTGTTTAATTCAAGTTGAAAATGCAAGGTGGTATATGATTAAAATGCTTCTTTGAGGCTGGAACATACCAGACTAGATAACTCCATACACTAGGCATGCACGATGCCTCTGGCTCAGGTACTCGTGTGTCAAAACTTGGTGCAAGCAATCTTGTGTCAAAATTTTGGCACAAATGCTGAAAGTTATTTGTGCTTAGTATGAATCTTTTATACTATTTCAGTACATAGTTACCTAACATGCTAATTTATGCCACAAATGCTTTGCTTGCTTAGGGTTTGACAATAAAGAACAAGCAGCTTTGGTTAAACCGTTAAAAACAGGGTGAATATGAATGGTTTGTCAAAGGGTCTCATGAAAAGAGGACATGCAGAAGCAGTCAATGTGTAGGTATGGTACAGAAAAAGCTCACATTTGGGTTGGCCTGTTGCCAGGTGTTGCTTGTTAAGTGCAGTAGCTCATTGAAAAGTAGTGCTGTATTATAGTGTTTGATTTCAGGAATATTGCTCTAAATAACACCAGGATGCTGGATAATAGACCAGAGCACCTAACTTCAATCATCATTGTACCTACTGCATTCCAAAACTTCCAAGTTTCCCTTCAGCCGCCTCAGCAAACAAACTACTTCTTGCATGTAATTGCACGTGTCATTACACAGCATGGGCAGTGGGCAGATCCCTCGGGCCATTGGTTCCCTTTTGTGACAAGTAAAGCAATATGTATCCTCATTTTTTCCAGAGTGCTCTACCTAGATCAGGGGTTGAACAGTTGGGAGGAGATCCAACCAAACTCTCTCCCTCAGCTCCATACTTATTTACAGTGAACACATTTACTGTACACATTTACTGTGGAAAGCCAGAGTTAGTGGCACTGTTAAAATCAGTCGCTTCCGGCTGGTTCACGCGGAAGTAAAAAATGTGATAAATCAAATCAACAGTTTATTGCAACTTCACTGTGCAATGACCAACGGTTGAAACAACAAACGAACCGATAACAGCTTCCAACCAACAACCTAAATCTCCAATCTACACCGCAGATCTGACTGCGACCGGACTAATGCCGAGAAGCAGTGACGCCTAAAGATGCTTTAGGAACGAACTCACAATCGATATTAAATTCAAGCTGAGAGTGACTCAGATTCTACCCGTTAAATTCTACCCTTTAAACCGGTTGTACCGGGATCATTGTAGCGCCACTTGCGCGGTAGTAAGTTAAATGTAGGGAGTCAGGTATTCAGAAGGGTTTCACTCATCTGTTGCTTTACATAAATTAATTTAGCAAAACTCTATCCGCCAGTCCGGCTGAGGCAGAACGCCCACAACCTTTCCGACCGCAACAGAGTTGGTATTGAATAAACACGGCTAAAGGCTAGAAGGAGCTAAAAGCTCACGACCAGAACTCAACCGCAAATATTCAATACAGCGTTACCTGCTCCCAACGAGCTCCAAACAAGACTGCCGCTGGAACGCGCGGCCAACCCCTCGTCGCCTCCCCACCGCTCGGCACAACGCACACAACCAATCAGCGAACGCGAACGCACTCAGCGAGGCAGCGCCGCGCCCCAGACGCGTAGGCTAGCCCGCAGCGCACGCGGCCAGCGGCTGGGCCGCACCGCGCCGCCGCCGCCGAGCGAGCGGGGCTGCGGCGGGGAGGGGCGGGGGGAGAGAGATGCACAATGTCCATGGCTACATAATATGATAATATCACATTCTCCCCACCAAATGTGCGTTCGACAACCACATTTTCTAATCCTGTTGCACCACAAGAAACAAAATGCACTTCGCAAGATCACTAATCTACTGCGCTCACATAGAGTCCTCGTTTGACAGGTCCACTGTCCAGCTTACGCGCCATCGCGGAACCGGATCCATGACGGCAGGCCCTCGGCGGCCGCCATCTTCCTGAAACCCTCCGGGTTGATGTGGATCTGGTCGAGCTCGTACCACTGTTTGCAGTCCGAGACACAGTGGGCGCGTTTCCACAGCTTCTTCGTCAGCTGTCTGCCGACCGGAACGAAGTCCACCTCGCGTGGCAGTGTGTGCTTCAGGTGTCGCTCCGCCGCGTACGAGATTGATGGTCGCGTCCTCTTTCCGGCGAGACCCAAGACCGCTGACTCTCGCCACAGAGTCGCCGAATACGACGTGCAGCGGTGGTAGTTGCTGATCCAGCCACGGGCCGGCCTCCTCGTCCATCAGTTGAAGTATTTCGTCCATGTCTACAAAGAAGAAGAACAATCGTTATCAAGGTTCTCATGTAGTCAAGGGAGTACTGATGGTTTTTTTTTCGGGTGCGTCACGCACACCAGCAGAGCTTCAAGCCCATACTAACCATATCTTTTGGGTAAAAGAATATCAGGATAGTGGTGATAGTTTTACACACTCATCATTTGTTTTAGTTTTGATCAATTCCCACTGCCTCCAACTGGAACATCTTGTTTATGGGGCGGCGAGTCCGCTTACCGTGCATTTTCAAGTAGGCTGCCCTCACTTTACCATCACTACCTAGAATCAGCTCCGTAACGAGCGCCAGCGGCCAGCGACCTCGCGGGCCCTCCCCAGCGACTAACACCACATCGCACCGCACGAGGCGGTGCGCTGCGTCGTCACCAACACCAACGCCGCACCAAAGGCGGCCGCCAAAGCCAAACAGAAGAAACCGACCGCTCCGGCGCCGTGGGGTCAGGATGAGCTGCCCAACGCGCCGCCTCCCAACTCGCGGGCCATCCGTCCGGACGCGTTCCGCGCCGTCTGTGACACCATGGTACAGGGGCTCGGCAAGAAGCCGCGCAGCATCGGCGCCGACGTGGCCATTTTAGAGAACGGTGACGACCACGACCAGCGCGTGGTGCTGCCCCGCCGCGAGAACCGCGTGATCCTGACGCGAGCTCGTCGGCAGCTGCACCGGCGCATGGCCGGCCTGGTCTCCACGGGTCTCCGTTACCGCGTGGACGCCGAGAAGGCGGCCGATCAGTTGGAGGAGGTGGTGATACGGGAGGCGAACGCTCCACCACCGCTCCCTGTACCATTTCTCGGTTCTGTTGGTCATACAACTTGAACTTCTCCTCACTGAGACGTTGCGTCATCTTTTGAGTTCGAGTCAGCGCACAGAAGTAGTTAGAGACCGGCCTTTCCTCTGACCGCCACAGGAGGCCCATCTCGTACCGTTTCTCTTGTTCATTCCACGTGGGCAGGGAGTGGGACGATGCACCCGAGTCGAGCACCTCCGTCTCGGTGATTCCCACTGTGTCCAGATCCCACATGGCTTGGACTTGTTGGCAGTGAAAGCCTCGTCGCTGTGACTGTGACACATGTTCCTGACCCTGCCGTCCGTGTAGAACATACCCAAATACTGTCTCAATGGCTCGTACCCCCTCACTCATCTCCACCTGTTTCCACAGGATGATCTGGTACAGGTGATCGATGCCAATGAGGATGTCGATCTGAGCGACCGTGCCGTCATCTGCCATGTCCAGTTCGTTCCCTGGATTTGGCGACTGAGGAGTTGGAAGTGTTCCACAGAGCTCATCCGTGCTCCACAGGCTCACCCTCACAGGACAGCCACCAAACCTGCTCTCCAGGTCGACTTCCACTTTATCATATGATCGAGCCTTTTCAGTCTTTTCCTGAAATCCGATACAACAGAAGACTCCCGAGCCTAGTACCGGGAGACCCAGTTCCCCAGCCAGAGAGCTCCTGATGTACGAGGAGTCAGAACCACCGTCTAGGAGGATTCTGATCCTGCGGCTACCGTTCTGTCCGGCAGCGTTCACCACCGCAGTTTGGAAGAAGGTTCTGCACTCTTGAACCCCTCGGGCGACATATTGATGACGCGAGGAGGGCGGTTTCCCTTGGCCTGCCGTCTCTGCCGGAAAAGGCGCCGCGTCGGGCGACAGCATATGCCCAGACTGCGTAGCGCCTGCGGCGGGAGAGGAGACACCAGTATTGTGCAGCAGGGTGTGGTGGTATCTTCCACATTTTGAGCAGGAGCCCCTTCTGCACAGTCGGGCGGAATGCCCAGACCCTAAGCATAGGAAGCATGCTCGGGACTTCCTTGCTGCTTCCCAGCGTTCTTCAACTACCAGAGAGTGGAATCTTTTGCAGTCATTTAGACGCTCATGAGTACCTCCACAGATCGCGCAGTTCAACCGCTGAGACCCGCCGGCTTGCTTCGAGGGTGCCCTGCGAGGCTCGCGTTGCACTGTCAGGGAGCTGACTACTGACGGCTGGGATTGAGGCGACTCGGCAGAAGCATGAGACGCTACTCCCTTGGCCGACTCTCGGAGTCGTATCTCTTTGTTCAGAAACTGTAAGAACTCATGGAAAGTGGAACTTTCGAGTCGAGCCCACTCCAGCCGCCAGTCCTCGGGAATCTTGTTCTTCACGATCGGCAGAAGCAAGCTTGAGAAGCTGCTGGATGGCACCCCCAACGTCTCCAAGGCACGAGTGTGAGACGACAAGTGGTCAATGAGGGTGCGCATCCCCTTCAGGTCGCCACTGCGAACCGTGGACATGTTCAGAAGATCCCTCATCAGGGCCTCCTTTCGTTCCTCTTCACGCTCAAAGCGTTCTTTGAGGATGGAGACTGCCTGACTGTAACCATCACCGGTCACAGGGATACCCTGGATGGGTCGAAGAGCGTCACCCGCCAGGTGTGATTTCAGAATCACGAACTTTTGTATGCTGGCGTAGTTGGCGACGTTGTGGACCGACAACGTGTACAGTTCCCAGAACTCGGGCCACTTGTTCACGTCCCCGTGGAACACCGGTATCTTTACAGTGATTGAAGATTGGAGCTCAGAGTTACACGTGGGGCCCTGTGTCTGGACCCTTTGAGCTTCATCTAGACGGCTGAGTACACGAGAACCCAGGAAAACCTCGTCTTCGACCGTCTGCAAGTGACTGGATTCGTCGGATTGGCCTAACTTGTCTAGCTGGACCTGGACGTCCCGTAAATCGAGCTGAACCTTTTTTAAATGCTGCAGTTTCAGCGCCAGCTGGTCTGAATCAATGGAACCCGAATCCAGTTTCCTATAGCTCTGGAAGTCATTGCACAGTTTGGTTGCTTTCGATCTCAGTCGAGTTCGCGTTGCGATTAAATCGTCCATTTTGTTTCAACAAACTTAACAAATACTCAAAGTAAGAGGACTGTATTCAATTCAAGGTTCAAAATTTTAGACGAGCCTTTTGACTGTTATATGCAGGAGCGAGACGCTCACAGCGATACAACAAGGCTGGCAAAATGTCACGAAACCTGATGACTAGTAAACAATGTCAGCCCTCAACAGAGGCAGAATGCCCACAAATTAGGCTAACAAATGCCCACCAGTCATCCGGCCCGGAGGACCTATGTTAAAATCAGTCGCTTCCGGCTGGTTCACGCGGAAGTAAAAAATGTGATAAATCAAATCAACAGTTTATTGCAACTTCACTGTGCAATGACCAACGGTTGAAACAACAAACGAACCGATAACAGCTTCCAACCAACAACCTAAATCTCCAATCTACACCGCAGATCTGACTGCGACCGGACTAATGCCGAGAAGCAGTGACGCCTAAAGATGCTTTAGGAACGAACTCACAATCGATATTAAATTCAAGCTGAGAGTGACTCAGATTCTACCCGTTAAATTCTACCCTTTAAACCGGTTGTACCGGGATCATTGTAGCGCCACTTGCGCGGTAGTAAGTTAAATGTAGGGAGTCAGGTATTCAGAAGGGTTTCACTCATCTGTTGCTTTACATAAATTAATTTAGCAAAACTCTATCCGCCAGTCCGGCTGAGGCAAAACGCCCACAACCTTTCCGACCGCAACAGAGTTGGTATTGAATAAACACGGCTAAAGGCTAGAAGGAGCTAAAAGCTCACGACCAGAACTCAACCGCAAATATTCAATACAGCGTTACCTGCTCCCAACGAGCTCCAAACAAGACTGCCGCTGGAACGCGCGGCCAACCCCTCGTCGCCTCCCCACCGCTCGGCACAACGCACACAACCAATCAGCGAACGCGAACGCACTCAGCGAGGCAGCGCCGCGCCCCAGACGCGTAGGCTAGCCCGCAGCGCACGCGGCCAGCGGCTGGGCCGCACCGCGCCGCCGCCGCCGAGCGAGCGGGGCTGCGGCGGGGAGGGGCGGGGGGAGAGAGATGCACAATGTCCATGGCTACATAATATGATAATATCACAGGCACTCTTGGAATGTCTGCACTAGTGAACTGGCACACATCTGATTAACACCTTATTAACAGTGCCCTTACAATACTGTGGTAGATGAGCAGTGTTGGAAAAGTTGCCGTTTTCTGGTATCAGATGCGCCAGGAATTTTGTACTCCACTGGAAAATGACAATTTTTGTACTCCAATGACTACGCGTCCCACACAAATAAAAGGGTGTGAAATTTGACAATGAACTGCCCATACTCCCTTGTGTTACAGGTACCCAGTGGAAACACAGCTTCTGCAATAACTGCATCCCAGCCCGGGGGCCCAACCCAAGTCAGGGCAAAAACTACAAGTACAATGCACAGCATAATGAAGATCGAAGAGCCAAATATCCTGCATAACATCCACCAGCCGTGATGAACAACTACCAGAACTGATACTTGTACTGGTACATTGCTGTGTTATGCTTAACAAATTTGAATTATGTGCTTACGTGGTCCTGTAGACAATGTACCTACATGAAATAAACATACATGCAAAGTGTTGTATTTTGTGAGCTTAATAACTAAGAATGACTTGCATTTGTGCCAAGTCCAAATCCAGGATGATGATGAGGTACAAAGTTATCAAAAACGCCATGGAGTACCTATTGGTCTGGACCAGGGTCTGGACTAAACGCTGCATGTGTACCTATCGTAATAGGGATCATAGGGATATCCGGATATCAACTCACAGGCCCGACCACAAAATGAATGAATATACGTCGCAAGGTATATAAAAACACTTTACTAATTACTATACAATAATACACTATACATCTCATTATGATGCGTCGTATATATTCCTATCTCCATGCCGCTACCTACCACAGCAAAAATAAGTGCGCAATGATTGTCTTTTTGTTAGAGATGATCAAGTCAGCACAGCTTCTGTGGAGTCGCTGATTCAGTTCTCCTAAGGATGGAATTTTAAATGGTTTATGATCGGGAGACGACTTGGAATCTTTCGACATTTGCATCGTAACTGTTGCTCAAATAATGATTGTTTGGGGTTTAAAAAAAGGAGAAAAATACAACCTTTCAAAATATGACCAATTTTTTCCAAATGAAATGCCGTAACTGTTAATATTGAAGATTTTCTGAACTGGAAACTCGATGATAAAACTTAAAGTGCAGATCCAGTACTCCTTTGCCAATTGTATGCTCCACACAGCTCCGTTTCTCATGGCCCGGCTATGACAGATACAAAATTGAGCCTGCTTTCTGATGGTAGGCAGTTTTTGGCCAGAGGACCTATGGTTATTGTGAAATTGGTGTTCAAAGGCTGTACTCCGACCTCTGTCTCCGGGTCCTGTTGCCGTAGCGTAATCGCGATTCCGTGGTATGTGCTGTGCCAACTCTATCGGGCCGCTTATTTCGCCGCGCCGATATTTGTGCCGCTGGTGCCGCCGGCGGCGTTTTCCACATTTTCGAAGCTGGCTGAAGTAATTATATTTTCGTTTGTTTTCCATTGTTGCCTGTTTTCCATGCTATGAGTATAGTTGTAAGAACAACCTAACAGGTTTTGTCTTTTGTAATTGTAATCAAGCGTGGGCCGTGGCCGTGGGCATTGGCATTAGCGGTGGGGTAAGTGAACGTTCCACTTTGATTTTGGTCTGGTTCCTTTCATGATAGTAAATAATAAATATGTACTATGATGACTATGATGATTGATTGATAATTTGACTGTTACCTGGAGTGGAGTTAATATCACTATCATTAACCTCCCAATTGTCTTTGCTGATCTAGGTACTATCATTTCTCTGACCCTGAATCAGAATATTCATTCTTATTTTAAGTCATAAGCATGATTCAACAAAGTGAAGTCCTATACATAAGTTGTCTAACAAATTCAGATAATCTTGCTTTCAGTTATAGCTTGCATTTCATTATATTGCATGACTAAGTAGTGCTTCCTGGTGCATACGAGAGCACCAATTTTTGGTTCCAGACTCTCGTCCCTACTTCTAGCTGCTAACCTAATCCTTACTATGACCACTAACCACTCAGTTATGATCACATGATACTTGCCACTCTCAACAAAAAAGTTCTAGTTGATCGTCTTGCTGCGTCACTCGATAAACATTGTTTTCCACACTGTATTGTTTATTCACATGCTTACAATTCTACATACATAGGTACAAAGAAAAACACTGCACAAAAAAATACACTATGCAGACGCAATTGACCACCCCAACGCTGTACAGTTGTACTCCACTGGCCCAAAAATTTTGTACTCCACTACCAGAACAAAAAAGTGAAATTCCAACCCTGTAGATGAGTGACCTAAAAAATGTCCTTCCTCACATTTTGCATTTGTCTCATTAGCAACCTTTGGGTGGGAGCTCCTCAGGCATGCACGCTCTGATTCGTTAATGCATGCCTGCACTCCTGGAATGTGCCTTGGTCGCTTGAGATATATAAATAGTAAATACACACCTGGGCAGAGGTGGAGATCTCGGGGGGTCCTGACCCCCCCCCCCCTGAAAACGAATTATTGCTATGTAAGTCAATGCTACTGCATTCAGCCCTCCTCCATCTGCCCGGCCTGGACCCCCCCCCCCCCCTGACATTTTGACAGATCTCCACCCCTGCACCTGGGTAAGGCTATCGGAGGCCCGGTGTATGCCCAAGATCTTGTCGGAATCTGCCATGTGTTGGAGTCTGGGTGTGGAATGCAACACAGTAAGCTATATGGTGCATTTTCAGCCAATTTCATGTTTCTTTTCTTGTGTCTTGCAGAGAATATGGAGAGCCAGAGCTTGCTGGACGACTCTCTGGTCACTGACTCCCAGCCAGGCACTACTGATGCCGGCATCCCAATGTGCCCTGCCTACCAAATCGCTCCGGGGCCGGCCCAGGCACCGCCCACTCGTCTGGTGGCCGCCAGCGACGACAGCGACACCGACTACGAAGGCGAAACCGAGCAGCAGCCGCTGCCTCTGCGTTCGGACAGCAACGCATCCGTCAGCACCGATAAATGCAGCTCCCGTGCTATCGTGAATGCCACCTTTGATGACGATAGCGACACGGACATGTCTGACGCAGAAGATTGGGCGATCCGGCCGACTCGGCCCTCACCGACCGTCAGCGGCATTGTTGCGGAGACACCGTCAAAACCAGAACCCGACAGAAGCTTCACGAGAGACACTGTTGAGCGGGAGGCTCAGCTGACTGCCAGTACCGCCCGCTCAACCAGTGTAGACCTCGAGGCAGACACTCAGCTTTGTGGCAGTGCTGCTACCGCGTCTAGTGTAGATCTCGAAGCAGAAACTCAGCTTAATGTCACTGCAGCCCGCTCGATCAGCGTAGACCTTGAGGCAGAGACTCAGCTGGACGGTGGCGTCGCGCACTCCACTAGTGTAGATCTTGAGGCAGAGACTCAGCTAAATGTCAGCCATGCAGCCCGCTCAAATAGTGTTGATCTTGAGGCTGAGACTCAGCTGGGTGCTGGCGTCGCGCACTCCACCAGTGTAGATCTTGAGGCAGAGACTCAGCTTAGTGTCAGTGCAGCCCGCTCGACCAGTGTTGATCTTGAGGCAGAGACTCAGCTGGGTGCTGGCATCGTGAATTCAACCAGTGTTGATCTGGAAGCGGAGGCCCAGCTAGTCGTAAGTGCTTCCCGCTCGGCGGCTGTGGATCTCGAAGCAGAGACACAGCTGGGCCGACCGAACGTTGACGCTCGGGACGTCCCACGGGAAATGGAAGTGGAAGACGCCAGACATGTGGACCGCACAGAGAAGTGGCCACCGGAGAGAGAGGCTACCAGTGATGACGAACTGGACGCACCAACTCAAGTGTACCCTGGGCGGAGCAAACAACTCTCGGATGGGCCTGGTGCCTCGCGAAGACACGTTGACTCCAGGGATTCAGAAAATTGTGGTTTTCGCAAACCGAAAATTCCCGGACTGGGTTCAACTGTAGTCGCTGGTGCTCGCATGAGCTCTGCCGAAAATAGCTTGAACGTTTCTGACGTGGATTTAGATGCCCCAACTCAGGTGTTCGATACTGCGGATGACGAAGACCAGGCTGACGATAGCCTGGACCTGGAAGCAGCAACCCAGGTGTTCAGAGTTCCCAGTGAAGGCTATATGAAAGTTCCTGTTTCGAATTCAAAGGAAGACGCTCATAAGCGCAAGAATCATTCCGTGGAAAGTCCGAATGTCAGCGGTGTAGACTTGGATGCAGCCACCCAGGTGTTCAGGATTCCCAGTGAAGAACACATGGATGTGAGTGATATCGATTTAGATGCAGAAACACAGGCATTTAGTGCTCGTAATAAGACGGTTTTGGACAAAAGCAGTGTTGATTTGGATGCTCCGACACAGGCATACCATGGCCAAGTTGACACAAGTCCAGATAGATCAGACATAGATCTAGGTGCGGCTACCCAGATTTACAGAGCCCCTGGTGAGGAAAGTATGAACGTTTCTGCCGTGGATTTAGAAGGGGCCACGCAAGTCTTTAGACCCACATCTAAACGCAGCTTGGACTCTTCTGATGTTGATTTAAATGCGGCCACGCAGCTCTTTGTGGGTTCGGGTGGAAAAGGCCAGGCCCAGGACGTTGCAGATACGGAATCGGATGAAGATGAAGACTCACAAGCCGGCGGTGCTCGTGGTAAGGCGATTTTGGACAGGAGCTGCGTTGACTTGGATGCTCCGACACAGGCATTCCATGGCCATGGCGACGCGAGTCCAACTGGATCTGATGACATAGACCTAGGTGCGGCCACCCAGATTTACAAAGCCCGTGGCGAGGAAAGCATGGATGTATCTGCCGTAGATTTAGATGGCGCCACACAAGTCTTTGAACCCGCATCTAAACGCAGCAAGAACGCTTCAAGGGTTGATTTGGATGCTGCCACTCAGCTGTTTGTGCATCCCAGTGAAGAGAATCTGAACGTTACAAAAGCGGACGAAGACACAGATGTGGATGCTGGTGAACACCTGAATGATACGCACATCGACTTGGATGCTGCCACCCAGGTTTTTAAAATGCCCAGAAAAGAAAGAAGCGTAAATGAGAATGATAACACAAAGGCAACTACCCAGAATAGGGTAAACAATGAAAATCTCTCAAACGAGCCCGACATTGACGAGGATGCCAGCACCCAGATCTTCAATCCGAAGAGTGCTGCTACTCCAGGAACTGATGAGAAGCCTCGTCAAGAAGAGATAGCCTCCACGAGCTCTGAGCTAGCTTCGACACATGCTGGAGGTCGACGCAACACGGTCGACGTGGACATTGAAGCTGCCGTGGATGTATCGGAGTGCGGTGACGCTGCTAGCGGCGCGGAGGCGCACCGGCCCACTGAGGATGAAGCGTCACGAGGCGTCGCCGTCACAGACGACAGCGATACGGACATGAGCGACGTGTCAACGGCGCAGACTGACTGCAGAGTTTCGAGCGAACGTGTTACGCCTGGGGCTGTCACAGCGAAACCCGCCGCTGAGACGAGCGAGGGGCTGGCGAGTGGTGAAGGTGCCGGAGCCGGCGCCGACTCGGACTCTGACTCTGATCTGGAGCCGTCGCAGAGAGTCTCCTCGCCGGTGCTGAGTCCCCGTCAGCAGCCGGAGAGCCCTTCAGGCGTGGTGGATGACCCAGAGGATATGATCGCCACTCAGCGAATGCCGTCTCCGGGAAGGAGGACTGGGGGTGGCGAGAAGCTGCCTCTCACACCGCAGCGAGCGGGTGGCGAGAAGCTGCCTCTCACACCGCAGCGAGCGGGTGGCGAGAAGCTGCCTCTCACACCGCAGCGAACCTGCAGCGGCCTTAGCACGGAGAGCGAGACGGACGACTACCGCATAGAGCTTCCCAGCACGCAGGAACTACTGCAGGTTAGTGATAGAATTGGCAGCAGTCGTGTCTCAATAATCGTTGTATTTTCATAACCAGTATAACGCCTTTTGGGGCGACTAACGGAGCGAGCGAGAGGGTGAGCCTTGCACGTGCGAAATTTCGACGGGGTACCTCCAGCTGACTTGTGCACGGCACCCTACTAACCGGTCTCTAGCGATGTGCCAAATTTGAGCACAATCGGCCCAGCCGTTCTCGAGATCTGGAAGCGGCACCCTGCACGTGCGCACGTGCAAAATGGGTCCCAGCTGACTTTTGCACGGCACCCTACTAACCGGTCCCTAACCATGTGCCAAATTTGAGCGCCATCGGTCCAGCCGTTCTCGAGATCTGGAATCGACCCCTGCACGTGCGCACGTGCAGCAGCACCCCAACTCTGGCACATGGATATGCATTGCCTAGTGGGTGCCTACCTACATGCCAACTTTCAGCGCAATCGGCCAAGTAGTTACCGAGATATTGCAACAATTACAAAAGTGACACCTCTTCGTTTTGCACGGGGCACGTGCATAAGGGGTCACCCACATGCATCGGGAATAGTCTAATACTTGGTAGAAGGAATGAAGCTACCCTACAAAAATTACCGCGTGTAAATCGGTCAAGTGGTTGCTGAGATATAAGCCTCGCAAAAGCGTCCGCACGGCCGGCCGGCCGGCCGGCCGCTCATACTCAGAAATTTCCGTTAATCTAAGGAAAGACTCCGCTCGCTTCGCTCGCTCCGTAATCACGCTCATCTGCTCATCTCAATTCAACCCATCTTAGTGAACCTACTTTGACCGTACCCCGATTATGAATAGATGGAGACTTGGAGACTCGGAGTTATAAAAGTCATGAATAAAGTAACAGCTAAGTTGTCAGCGGCCTTTTACTCATTGTCCGCCCTACCATCGCTGTACCCAGATTGACATTTGTTCGTGATCGACAGGTGCTGGCTATGAGCTCCTCCCAGTCAGCGCCGTCTCCGCCCGTCCAGGAGATGCAGGAGGAGGATTCCGAGTCTCCAGTGCGGTCTCCGTCCCTGCTGGAGGAGTCGCCGCCGCCGCTCGTACCGTCCGACACCAGCACCGTGCGATCGGTAACCGAGGCTGACGCGGCGCGGCGGCTCTTTGCTGACTCCCCATCCCAGCCCGAAGAGAGCCGCAGGGATAGTCTTGAACGTGAAGTTAAGGAAGAAGACGATTTGTTGGCAGACACCAACACTGTTGAGCAGCAGGGCCCCGAAGAACGCCGCAGGGTTAGTCCTGAACGTGAAGTTCAGGAAGAAGACGATTTGTTGCCAGACACCGACACCGTTGAGCACCAGGGTAGGGACGGAGAGCAGACTGTTGGACCGGCTGGAGCCTCCACATCGGCTGCGGCCTCCACCGAGGTTGCTGAGGACGATGCTGACGGTGACCAAACGACTGACATTGTTATTGATATAGTCGAAGATTCGCAGAGTCCGAGCAAAGCCGCACGTGCCGGGACGAGCACGGGAGTCCGGCCGACGGTCGTTGATCTGTCCTCCCCTGAGAAACAGCTGCACGTGATCAGTTCGCCTGTGAAGAGGCAGCTTGCAGGCAGGCAGGTCCGGGCAGCCGCCGGGCGCGGCAGAGGCAAACGGCGGGCCACCGAAGGAGCGGTGTCGGCGGGAACATCAGGAGCCGGACAGACCGTAGAGGCGATGGTCGGTCGGAGAACGTCCAGTCGGCGAGTGAAACCGCCGGAGAAGTTTTCACCGAGCAAGCCGGACTCTGGTGGGAAGCGCCGGCGCAGCGACACGCCGAACCTCGCTGACTCCAGCAGTAAGCGGCGCCGGGCGGCGGCGGCACCGGTCAGCAGAGGCGGGCGACGGCGGACTGATCCGCTGCGGCAGGACGAGGGGGCCGCGACAGTCGGCCAGGAGGAGCCCGGCGGCGCCACGGACGGCGGCGAAGTCTGTCCCTCTGGAGCGTCCCTCGGCTCTGCGCCGACCGGGGAGCAGTCGGCGGCGGCCCCAGTGTCCCGCCGCAGCGGACGGCAGACTGCCGGTTCGCGGGCTCGCGGCCGCGGCCGCCGGGTCGCCGGTACGCCAGACCGCGTCACGGAACCCGGTTCACCGGCTCACAGCACCGAACCCGGTTCACCGGCCCGCCGCACCACACGGCGGGCCGCGGGTTCGTCGTCCCGTAGCACGGAACGACCGGCCGCCGATTCACCTGCCCGCAGCACGGGACGCGGCTCACCAGTCCGCCGCACCGGGCTGCGAACCGCCGGTTCACCGGCTCGAACCACAGCTGAACCCGGTCCACCAGTCCGCCGGACAGCATGGCGCACCGCTGGTTCGCCAGCTCGCAGTACAGGACACGGTTCACCAGCTCGAAGCACTGGACGGCGCACCACTGGTTCACCAGCTCGCAGCACTGTATGCTGTGCACCGGCTCGCAGGACCGGACGTCGGGCCGCCGATCCCCCGGCGGCTGATCGCCAACAGCGGCCGTCGGCGGCCCGGCCGATCATCCCGGTCGTCATCGACTCAGACAGCGCCTCAGAAATCGATCTCACGGCCTCCTCGCCCGAAACCGTCTCGTCAGCGGCGCAGAGCCGGGGTAACCGCCGGACCAGGGTCTCCCACAGACAGGCCCCCGCCGCGGCAGCAAAGCGGCCACGCACGGCGAGGAGTGCTGCCGCCGCTGCTGAGTCGTCGGCAGACGTGGCACACAACCGTCCGAAAAAGACAGCACGGGACTCACGAGCGGCCCCCTCTCATTTAGGTGAGTATGAGTGGTGTGTAGGGGGAAACTAGATCGAAATCGACACTGCTAGCATCGCCGTCGGATGCTCTTTTGCTTTGGAGAATACCTGTAGCTAACGTGCTTTTGTCCACACTCTGTGACTATGACTGCTGTAGTTGTTACTGCTGACACATTTCTTTATATTGTCCATTAGTGACATTAATATGGTGAACAGAAGATTAAACTACATCATGGAACTTCTTGATCTTGTAATGCGATTTTGTTACTTTATCCCGTAAATCTGATGAAATACTCATTGATTGTTCTAGACTCGCCTTTGGATGAAACGAGGAGCATCGCTCCGTCAACTATTACAGTATCGTCTCAAACGGTGAGGAATTTTACAGTGGATAAAATGAACACTTACCAGTCCCCATTCATCCAGTCCGGGACCTTTCATCTCACTGCGTCGCAACGGATTCCATTGGATCTGAAATATAAATAGGAATAACTGACGTTACTCCTAAAATCCCACTTTTAATTTAGACATTCCTTTGTTCAAAGTTTTGCATTGTACACTAGTTCTACTAGTCATCGGTACTACAAGAAAATCTGTTGTATTCCATAATTACTCTAAACACCCGCTTTACGTGGTTATATCCCACCCATAAGCTTGAGGTATATGGTGGTATCATTTAATTTATGATCGCCTACATTTTTTTTTGTTTGTTTGTTGGGTGTGGCTCTTTCGGTATGACAAGACCATTTCAGAGCCGGAATGATGATGGGAATTAGAGGGAGACATTGGTCTGGGCAAGCACCCTAGTGAGTCACCGGGGCTGAGCACGTCCCAAAGGACAAGCCGACCAGCCCTCCAAGTACTCACTTCACCCGGCTACGGGTGTGCTCCCTTGGGAGTAGCGGTGCTGCTCCAAGGGAGCTGTCCGCATGAGATGAAGTTGCCTGTCCAGCCCGGATCGAGGGTTGCGGCGTGGAGGATAAGGATTTGAATGTCCTGAGGATAGAAACGACGGACGGGGATGAACATTTCGTTCATTGATTTTTTAACTTATCGCGCTTTTCGCTCATCAATTTGTATGCAATTTAAACTAAGTGTTTCAGCTCGGCTTGGCTCAATTGAATTGTCTGCCTGTATGTCTGTCCGTCTTCGTGCTCGCCCTTATTGTCACAATTTTATGTTTCTGCCCTCCTCTCTCGTGCCGCCGCTGACCGATGTTGTCCCACCACCGTCCGCTGTTGTGCCGCCGCTGACCGCTGTGTGCCGCCGCCGCGTGTCCCGCTGACGCCGTTGTGCCGCCCGTCCGGCAGTCGGTTCGCTCCGCGTCGAGTTCGGGCCGCGGCGTGACGCCCAGTAACCACCCTCGCGTCCTCTTCACCGGCTTCGAGCGCGACTCGGCCGACGAGCAGATCGTCAAGTCGCTGGGTGAGTTACCGGTCGCAGATGGTGGTGAAAATGGATGTGGGGCCGTCTTATACCCAAATTATCATCAGTCAATGTTTAAATATCACAGAAGTAACTACTCAGTGAATTGTATCTCGGTACAGCTGAAATTTTGGTACGATTGTACGGTGCTTAAATTTAAAGTTACATCGTCGATATGTGTAATATAAGAGGAAGCTGCCACCCCGTTAAGCAGTGGTCATTTCAGCACTCATCGGTTGGATCTACATAGAAAGCAGATTTTTCCTAGATAGAGATGTCTCTTCAATGGCAGCGCAGTGTCTGGTGAGGTCCTACCATATCCACTTATGCAGACTGACTCGGCCTGTCTCCGGCAGGGGGCACGGTGGTGGAGCGGCCGGCCGAATGCACGGTGTTGGTCACGACAGGCGTGAAACGCACCATCAAACTGATGGCCTGTTTCGCCAGGGGGACTCCGATTGTGACTCCCGCCTGGCTGACAAAGTCAAAACAAGCAAAGTGCTTTTTAGGTGAGTGTCGCCAGCGTGATCTGTGAATTACATGATTTGGGTTTGACGAATCAAGTTAACTTTGGCGGGTCAATTTAAACACTAATATCTGACAAGAAAATATAATTTTAATGCTTTTATCAGCTCACCTCCTCTTGTTTTGACCGACAACGTGTTGCTCGGATGACCGTGAGCTTATCTCTAGATAACTCGGTTTTGGTATTCTGCTGACTTCCGGTTGTATCTGCTCATTGTCGGACTTTTTCTTTTTGCTCCTGGTCTCCAATGTCCGTCCCTCCACTCTTGACAGATCCATGGCAGTTTCTCGTAGAAGATAAGGCGGCGGAGGCGAAGTTCGGTTTTTGTTTCGGTTTGAACCTGCGGAAGGCGAGCCGACGAGCCCATCCGCTGCTGGAGGGCTGGTCGGTCTATGTGACTCCGCAGGTTCGGCCGCCTCCCGATCAGCTCAAAGGTCAGTGGTGTGCCGGAGCCGGCAGCTGCAATGGGGAACAGTTGTTTTAGTTTTTACTCGGGGAAGGAGGAATGCCTTTTTTGTCGAAATGGCATGCTTACCATATGATAAGCTGATTGCTTCCTTTGGTTGCTTCCTTTTTATAGCGTCAATGATTCAACAGATCATTGTGATAGTTCATTTTGTGTTCGGTACACGTGGGGGGTACACGTGAGGGAGTCGCTGACGCCGTTTGCCAAACAGATGTGATGTGAGTCTGTTCGTTTTGTGTTCGGTACACGTGGTGGCAGTGCAGATGCTGACACCCTGTCTGTCCCTCTGAGGTGGTGTGAGTCTGTTCGTTTTGTGTTCGGTCCACGTGACTCCGTCGCTGACGCCCTGTCTGTCCCTCAGAGGTGATTGAGTGCGCCGGCGGCCTGTTTCTGCCGCGGCTGCCGCGCAGCTCGGCAGACCGTGTGGCGGTGATCTCGTGCGGCGAGGACGCGCGCCACTGGCCGGCCGCGCGTCGGCTCCACCTGCCCGTGGTGTCGGCCGAGCTGCTGCTCACGGGCGTGCTTCACCAGCGGATAGACGTGCGGCGGCACGCGCTCACCGGGTAAACCGCGCCGCCGACCTGCGCCCCGGGCCGGACCGAGGGAGGGACGAGACTCATCGGGATCATTTGTTGCTGTGCAAACGCCCTCCATTGTTATCTCAGCGTGAACTTAGGTTGACGGCAGTTCATCCATAGATAGGACCAGACACTGGCGTCGTCTGATGCGGGTTATATGCGAAATGCCTTATGTTGCCAGCGGGCTTATCATTATGAAGTGCGTCGAATTGTGCGTGGATTGCTGCTGCTGCTCGCCATCTCGCTTTCACTGCACTAGGCTGTATTGGGGTTGAGCTTCATCAGTATTTATTCACAAGCGACGACATAATATAGATCTCAAACGTTTGAAATGTGTGTGCCACTACTCTCTGAAAGAACATTCCATTCGGTATCAAAACCCTTTCGAGAATGGCATAATGGTTTCTATCACAAGCACCATACACCTCACCTCAGATGCGGTTCATGACCATGACAATATGATGTCTTCACGGTTGGAGCTGACCAAACAAGTCTCCTTCATTCCAGCTCGAACATTTTAAGTCTTTCACTCTGTGACTCTATATTTCAACACTACGTATTATCCACTCCCGTGCGATCTGAGTGCGCTCCCTCGGAGCTGGCCTCTGCGCTGCGCTGCCGGCGCCACTGATCCTTTCTGTCTCGGCGCCGGCGGCGCTGCAAGTCGCCACGCTGCCGCCGCAGCTGCTCCTCCCGCTCCCGCTGGGCGGCCACCGACGCGTCACCGTTCAGCGCACGGTCCAGCCGCTCCGCCAGCAGGTGTCTGGCCTGGCGCCGGTTCACCTCCAGAGACCGGGACTCGTGGCACTTGACCACCAACCCTGAAAATCCGACACCGGTCAAGTGTGACCAATTCATGGTAAGCACTACCTATTTTGTCGTTTAAGCGTAATGGTGTGATACTGAAGCATCAGGCATTTTGCTCTGGGGTTTCTAGATTTTGATGAGCATTGACAGTTTCCATGGAGCACTCGTCTATAGCTCACCGGTGGGTATGTGTTTCAGCGAGACGCAGTTGGCCGTCTTGTTGACGCTCTGGCCGCCGGGACCGCCGCCGCGCACGAACCGCTCCTCCAGCTCTCGCTCATCCAGCTGCGGGAACCGCGACCAGTCGATACCCTGTGTACCGGCCAGCCGCGCCGCCGCCGTACAGCGTGGCGTCGCCCGCAGCAGGACGGCCGCCGTCCGCAGCACACCGCCCAGCATCGCTCAGACGAGACGCCGCCGACTCAGGACGGCGCGCCCCTTCTGTCAGGTAGAGCCGTGCCATCTGGACGTTAGACACGCTGACTGCCGATGGCCAGACACTTGACAGTGACCACGTGCCATAATAACGATTAAATATCGAACACACGTTTGATCAGGTGACTAGTTGAGTCAGTGTTTCACAGGTAAAATGTTTTAATTCGGTTAAAATTAAGCCGGCCGTCGGCGTCGTCATGTGACACGTGAAAGGTATCCTGTAGGTCGGAGTCGTCGCTTTATTCATCCATTTTTAAATCCTCAAGATTCTGCAGCTCTGCAACTTGCAGAATGTACAGCAGACTGCCCAAGAAAGTGCAAATAAAAGCGCACAATAGTGAATAGACCACCACACAATTTACCTCGAAGAGAAACCGGCGGCGCTGTTCCTCCTCAACCAGCCGTGACTTTTCGAACTGTCCCCGAACCCGTCGGTAGAAGTAGAGCCTGTCGGTGAGCTGCAGAGTCTGGCCGTAGCGCAGCAGGTGCCGGTAGAGCTGGAGCACCTGGGCGGTGCTGGGAGCCGACATCTGCTGATGGAACGTGCGAGTCAATAACACGGTACACGCCTGTCGGCCACCCGAGCTACCGTCGGTGCGGCGTCGCTCAGGCTCAGCCGGCGGGGATTTACCGCGGTGGGGCGCGGATTCATCGCTGGGTGGTGCGGATTTCGGTGGAGTGGTGAGACCCCGCTTTGATATGTTAAAATGAAGTGTTACCATGATAATTTTCATTGCTATTATTGCCAGGGACACTAATGAGGCCAAGGGACAAATTGCTCTTAGCATTTTCTACCACTTACACATGATTAATTTCAAATTCTGTGACACAATTGTTACTTATAAGGCCTCATTTTTTTCTGTAGACTGGTGCTAATTTCAAGCTTAGTTGGTTCTGACTGGTGTATGTTTGTCTCTCTGGCTAGTGTGGCTCTGGGCTCATTAACCCTGCTCTAAGTATTTATAGTCACTAGTCAAGTAGCTACCTCAAACTGTGCTTTTTATGGGAAAGGTGTAAAGGAAAGATGTAATGTACTTAAAGCCCTACAGTGCAGCTTCATGCACGGTGTTAAGTACTTAACCACTGGCAGATCTGGGATCTTCAAGGGCAATCTCCATTAGTGTGTACCTACTGAGTGAATGTGTTTTATACATTTGTTTCTTTAATTGAGGGTACCTACTGATTGAGAAGCTATAGATGCATGGTATTTTAGAAAATTATTCAAATGCATGTATATTTTAGAAAATTATTCATCTGTTTATCAATTGAATGCCTGATGTGGCACATTTATCCTACATCTAACTGCTTACCATATCTTAGTGTCTTTATTCAAATCTTGTTTGGCATTTTCCTATCTTCCTTTACAAAAAAAGATGAGGGAAGATGATTGTTTCATAGCTGTAAAGATGAAGTCCAAGTAAAAAAAAAGCATAACATGACCTAACCTTCACTGGTAACCTGCTACAGCCTACAACCTACTACCTGCATTCTGCAACCTACTGGCTACCAACTTACATACCACTCGGACTTAATCTTCTTATTCATAATACCCAACATTAAAAGTTGAAGTCAAAACTGAATCTTGATTACAATCAATCAATTGCAATAGGAATGCTGAATGAGTACGTAGGTAGACTTATTACTTACTAAATACACTTATGTGACTAGAAGTAGAGTGTAGACTATATATCACTGCAACTTGAAACCCTTTTAGCTATTCATATGGGTAGGGGCAGGTAGGGCCTTGGGGGTAGGTATGCTTGGGAGGATTTGTATATGTTTGCCAAATGTTTGCATATTCAGAAAACAGAAATTGTGATTGTAGCATGCGTGCCATTTACGCATCATTTACGTTGCATGTCATTTGCTTCCATATAGAGGTAGCAAGTTCTGCTATGAAGGGAAGTATGCTTGATGTTTTGTTCTTTTTGCTATTAGACAATTATTCTCTTGTTTATAGTTAATAAATAAAAAATATTTGGAAAATTTCATCAAGTATCTGCCTGGCTACCCTGGCTACCTATGGCAAAATTGGAGCGTATTTGCCTATATAGTACGTTGACGTCATGATTAGAGACTACTCGTTGAGTAGTTGCTACCAAATATTTATTTTGGTTTACATATCTGGCGCCATCAATACAAACAAAAAAGTACAAAAAAGTACACACGTAAACAAGAAAACACGCCACGGACACTCACCCCGTGTGTAAAAGAACGCGCATGGTATTTTACACTGAAAAACATAGCAACAACACGGGTAAATATTTCAAAGAATCTCCAAGTCAGCTGCAGAGTGCAGGCACTGCAGGCTGCACCAAAGCAGGGTATATTGAGTGAACCAAAGCGCCATATACCTACTAACTGCGCGCTCTAATTCTGCAACACCGTGTTGCAGAATTGCACAAACCTTCGCTAAATAGGTAAGTCGAATAAAGTCCACTCTGGCGTAAATCCTAAATCCACATTCACTGTATTGCTGGTGTCAGTTGGCAGAGCATCAGGTGTGGAGGCAGAGCCAAATTCCAGTTAGACCCTCGCAACTGCTGTGGCCAGTGACGAGAATGGCACACTTGTTTTGAAGAATGTAGATTCTGATCAAAATTTTGTGTGTAATGGCTAGGTACATATGGCTTATTCACTTCAATCAGTTAAGTTTTGAAGTACGTTTTCTGAAACAGCATCATAAAATCAGCCTAGACAAAGTGTGAAATTTGCAATGCTTTGTCCCCATGTGTGCAATTAATGTCTTAGTTTCCCTGCGGTCGCTCCCGAGACCCGAGTGACCGCAGAGACACAGGAAGAGCCACGTGCTAACCAGAATGCTGCTCTTGCCTGATTGGCTGCCAGCTAAGCTCCACCTTTTTGCCACTAAGGCCACAGGCGCAGACAGTTGAACAGGGCCCTGGAGTCGCTTTGTCAGTCTCGTTACCTGGAATTGGCCTGATAGGATGGTAGAAAAGAAGAAGAAAGACTGCCATCAAAAGAAGTTGGACGCAAGAGCCAAGCTGCTACGCGCTCTAAACCAAAACAACAACAACAGCAACTGATAGGATGGTAGGGGTCTGGGTCTGCGCACAGTGCAACAAGCTTTGCTTAGGGTGGGCTCCGGCTCTGTGACTCTGTCTAAACATTTGATCAATTCTCACCTGGTATTCTCACCTGGTGGGGTTCACCAAGCCTGACAGACCTAATGATGGCCATGGATGGCTAAATTAATTAAAAATACACATCATTTATTTATAATTGGTGCTCTTTCCCTCTCACACCTACCTCCCTCTTGCTTTTTCCATTCCAACTCTTTATGCCATGCTGACTGGTATGCAAGCTGATTTATGGTTTATTCTAATCTAGACCAAGCCTGCCCCGTGGCTCAGTTGGTATAGCCTTAGACTCCCGGTCGGTACCTAGTGGAAGCCCAGGTTCGAGCCACTCCAGCGCTTGATATTTGAAACACCTGACTGGTATTGCCGCAGTCAGTGAGAGCCAGTCGAGGTCAGTTGAGTGGGACAGGCCATGTCCGACTTTGAATAGCATGTTAACCTTCATCCCTCTGGGGGTCCTGGATTTCGATGCGCTGCTGGGGGTGTGTGTTTGAACACCCCTCTTATAACTTCTAACTTCTAACACTCCGGGGTCACGAAGAGACACGCCGTAGGCGGCTTTCGGAAGAGCGTCCAAAAATAAGGAAGAAATAACTGAGGTCATTTATTAGGTCAGGTCACCATAAGTCACTGAAAGTAAAATTTCGCCACTTTCAAGGCCCTGTTGAAGTGTATGTGGCTGCCGCAGCTCCCGCGGTCGGAATGGTGGGGCTTAGCTCATAGCTGGTGGCCAATCAGGCGACACACAGGCGGCTCTTGCCGCCGTCCTGATTGGCCGCTAGCTAATCAGGACGCGGCCTTTTTGACCGCGGGAGTGGCGGCGGTCGCAAAGACTTGAACAGGGCCCAGATCAAACTTCGATAATTTTCGACAAACCGGTGCATAGCTGAGGAACGGATTGAGCTTCAGCGCCGCAGAAAAGCGCATTCGAAAGCTCTTTTTGATGGTCTTTTTTACTTTTTTCAGATTTGACCTAAGGTCAAAGGTTTAGCCTCCAGGGGCAAAAACTGCCAAAATCGACCTTTTTTGCATAAACAGTTTTTCTGCAATAACTTTTGACTCAAAACTTGCACAAGCTTATTTTTTAGCAGCATTGTGTGATGTGTTCCTCTCGTTAAGACGCATCGAATGAACTATAAGTTGACCTCGAAAGGTCAACTTGAAAATTTGACCTTAGGTCAACGTCATGACCTGACTAGAAAAGATCATGTTCAGTCGAATCGATCCGTATCGTCGAGCCGAACCCATTAAGGCATTTTGATCGCCCTAGCGTGACTCTAACAAAAGTTACGAGTTAAAACTGTTAGATACCATTTGTGACCTCATAGGCGCAAAATGACCTCGCAGTCGGCGCGCCCCTAACCCCCTACAAACAAACATTTGTGACCTCAGATGACCTCAGGGACATGACGAGGTGTCACGGGTGCCATTTGCCGGTTCATTGTGTCATGTTTTCTTGTAATTACATGTTTGAAAGTGTTTAGAATGACGTTCGTCCGAAAGTGGCGCCTTTCGATTTTCTCCCATGTGGACCTATAATGGAGAGGTCGCAAAATTGACGTGAGGCCAGTGTTCACGGGCACCGCACACTGCTGCGTGCGGTGTGTGCGGTGCGTCCAGCAGGCGTGGGGGTAGGGGATGGGTAGGCGGTTCTGACGTCACGGCTGCTTGCGGTGGACGGTCCGCTGTGGCCAGTCCCGACCGGCCACAGCGATCGCTGTGTGCGGTGACGGAAGGCTGACGTAGGGAGAGGGACGAAGTGGGCGGAGCTTCCGGCTTCGAGGCTGTGTGCGGTCCGACCGCACACAGGGCCCGTGAGCAGCCCTCAGTTTTACCAACATAAAAATAGCTGCCTGCCGGATTTTTTCCCATAAGACCGCTTCACATACGGAGCATAAACGCGATGGGCACGTAAGGGGATAGGGCTTTACCATTTAAAGGAAATAGTTCACTTTCCTGAAATTTGTATTTTGCTATGGATTTATGTTCTTTTATGCTCAAAATGATCAGAAAATAAAACAAAACGTTTTTGTAAAAAGGATTATTTTCTATATTTTAGTATAAGAAGAACTATATTCTATACAAAATAATGTTTGACGCGGAAGCTTATTACGCGTTTACCAATCATATTGCGTAGGACAAACCCATCGGCTGTAAGCAGCATTCTGATTGGCTGACGATGACGTGACTGCATTCCTCAGCAAGGCACGCATTCCTCTGCAAGGCACTCTTTTCGGAACGAAAAATGGAATATCTTCGTCTAGGGTGATCGTTGGGCCGTAAAAGCTTCTGATTTGTGCTAGTCTCAGCGCAAGCAACAAAACTGCTATTCCAGTTCCAAACCCCATGTTAAAAGTGAACTATTTCCTTTAAGCTCCGTATGTGAAACGGTCTGTAGGCAGAAAATACCGGTAGGCTGCTATTTTTCTGTTGGTAAAACTGACCTCTGACCTTAAGTCAACGATATCAAATTTCCGAGATATACATTTTGTGCATACTGTTTCCCTATCAATTGCTGAAAGTTTCAAAGTGATCAGTCACTCGGTGTACTTTGACAGGCATTGAAGCTACTTATGAGGTGAGGTCATGATGTGACCTGGTGACCTGACCTCGTGTGACCTTGGTCTGAAATTTTCACATAATGTGCAGAAAAGATGTATGATAAGGTGTACCATCCCCCGATCGGACACTAGTGCACTAGTGCAGAATATTAACTGTGACGGTGACGCTGGAATATTTTAGGTAATTACGAGACACGGGATATTCGTACGCGTAAGTCTGTCCTGTCGACATCGTGTCGACATCGAATCGACATTGTGACGACATTTATACGACGTCGAGATTATGTTATATCGACCCCGTCAACATCGAAACAATGTTGTATCAACATCGAGACAATGCTGTATCAACACCGAGGCAATGTTGTACAATGCTGTCCCGTTAATATTGATACGATGGTGAAATTCAGCTTAGTATCAATGTCGAAAGTGGCTAATAGAATGACATCGACACAACATTGTTGTCAATGCTGATGCATCGATACAATAGGTATTGATGTGCCACTAGGGTGATCTGGGCCTGTGCAACAAGTTCTTCGTTGCTAGGTTCCGATGCTGTGAATCCGTCCATTCAAACATTTGAGATGAATTTATAAAAAAGCTTTATGTAAAACTCGATATGGACGGACACGCTCGCACATGCATGAATGTGCACTTGAGGCTCAATGAAGGAGAGGGTGCTTTTCTTGACCCCGCCTGGATGGATAAGATACCGCATATCTTGATAATGGGAGAGCCGCGAACGCTTGAACTGATAACCGAACTTCGCAGCGGGTCAAGGCTGACACTGACTCGGGTTTTACAAGCGCCGCGTTACGTCTAGACGGTATCGTCATACACTCATTGGCAGATGAGAGATAAGCACTCTATCAAGATCACGCGCACCAGTGCTCTAAGATAGCTCGTTTTTAGCTCGGATGGTTTGCAGACGTTCTGGTGTGCTGACTGCCGGTGTTTGAGGTACTGCTTCTTTAGGATACGGCATTAGGTAAGATAACCTCCCATTCCAAAATACTTTCCGTCATTTAAATCGATTCATGTATGTACAGCTTGCTGCTTTATAGCTAGCTTGTTCCACCAGTAACTCATTTTTTTTTTGTACTGTCCACTCTTACATTTGGGGTTTTGAATTTGTCCAATGCGTTTCATTTTTTTCTTC